CCAAAGGTATGAGATCCCTTTACAGTACTTCTTGATTTGATGAAAAATCACGTGGTTACGCTCTTGAAATTTTTTAAATGCTTCCGTTGTGCCTTCAATTGGTATCAGAGCAACCTACATGCTTTTCATCAAATCACAGTGATGATTTGAATACCTGATTATTATCTATGCACGTATAGATTTATATTCATGAATTCTTTTTGTGTGTTTCATGAATATGTATTTTATTTATTATTATTATTTTATTTGTTTGATCTGTTAATCTATGAGATAGAACTCAAATCACAGTGAATAAAAATAAAATAATAATATACCTGTTTGCAGCGGCTTGCATAGAAAATCGCTTGTGATCTGTTTTCGCCCATGTGATGGGCTATTCATTATATTGGAATTCATTAAATTTATATATATATATTTATATGGTTTAGTGATTGTCAGTAACACCCATGTGATGGTATAGTTGACTTTAATAAATATAATATTATATATTTAGTATTGCATTTGTTTGAAGTTTGAAGATGATCAGTGGCATTTTTTGTCCTTTGTCATCAGTGGCATTTTTTGTCCTTTGTCATCAGTGGCATGATTATTTTCACATACTGTACATTTCAGTTACTAGGTTGTTTCTTGGATGCAATCAATTTTTATTATTCTGCTTTAAAGCACATATACATGTATTTGTATGCATATTAAAGTTTGATTGCAGGTAGATTAATTATTTAATCTCTCTCATGGCCCGGTTGTGTTTTTTAATTTATTATTCAATTATATGTGATGTAATTAATTAATTAGAGGCGGCGTTTTAAAGGGCTAATCTAATAAGGATTGGTTTTTCCTAGCCGAATAAGTTTATTTTATTTTATCTTGTTTATAATTTTTGTTGGCCCTAAATTGGGTATAGGACAAAGACTTGTACTATACTTATTAAATTTAGGTTTGAAATTCTTGAAGAGTTCAAGAAAGGATTCAAACAAGATAAAAGTCAAAGGCTTCCAATGGAGGAATTTGGAAGCATAAGGTGATCATGAGATGATATTTAACCGGCCATGAGAGGGGATTAGCACTATTTATGGTGCAACATAATTTTTATTTGCATGCTTGTATTCATGTGATGGTTATATGCTTAAATCATGAATTGCTCTAGTTTTGTTTTAGTTAATTTTAAACAAAATAAAATTGAAATTTTTTTATTTGGGTTGTTTTGGGAAAATTAGCACTTTCCAAAATATTTTAAAAATTTTGATTTTCTGAAAATCAAATATTTCATTTTAAATTAAATTTTGTGGAAAGTGTAGAATTATCCCATAGTTAAGTTCAAGAAATTGAGCTAAATTAACCTAAATGAATTAGACTCATTAAGCCTAAAAGAAATTTTAAAATAGATTCCAATATTATTTAGATTAAAATTAATATTTTAATATGATGACATTATGCATAGGATGTATAAAATTTAAAACTCTCTAATTTCAAAAGTTAAGTGAGAGCGGGATTTAATCTTAAATTTCACAGCCTTCCATTGTCGATCTATTGTAAGGTGGAACAAATACCTCGCCACCAATCTTGGGTGCTCCTCCATAGGGTATTTGTTTCACTGGTTACTAGATATAGATCTCGCATGATAGAACTAGCGGCAGGCGGATGGGGACGATCACCATTAAGAGACGGTCCTCATTCAATTGCACTACTTCTAGACAATGGTATGCACTTAACTAAGTGGGAGTTCGCTCCACCTCAAGGGGTATTTTCACTTAGAGGCCAAGGATAAATCGGTTCCATATTTCATTTGGCATAAGATGCCTAGACAATGGGATATAGTGAAAATTGTTTCCGTCTAATCAAGGTACTGACATGATCTCTTAGTAGTGGCATGTTCTTATTATCCCTTGAGAGAAACGAGTGAATACCTACATGGATTATGATTACCGATATTTTCATTACATCAGAGGTTTATAGAGGCCCACTGAGAGACTATATGAAAACTAAAGTTTAATTATTGTTTCTGAATGTATGCCTTTTTATTTATACATGAATGTTTATATTTCAGATGTCGAATATTTTCAATCCGCTTGCTTCCATACTTAATTAAGGATAACAAATTAACTAGGTCGAACTATGTTAACTGGAAGAGAAATCTTCACACTGTGCTCACTCAAAAGTACCCTCCTGAGCTTAGCCTTAATGACATCCAGGATTACAAAGAAATTGATTCTAGTGCTGGGGTTGTCAAGTTTAAGGACAATAAGCAGGATAAGCCCAAAGGGAGTTGTTTCCATTGTGGCAAGGAGGGACATAAGAAAATGAATTGTTTGGTATATTTTGCTAAGAAGCACTCTGAAGATATTTTTCATTCACTTGTTGCTGAGACATGTTATGCGGTAGGATCTACAGATACCTGGTGTGTAGATTTTGGAGCCACTAACCATATTTTCAATTCATTGCAAAGGTTCTAAGAAACTAGAAAACTAAGTGATGGGGAGATTTATCTTCAACTTGCTTCACAAGCAAGGGAAACAGCAGTATCAGTAGGAGTGGTTATTTTAAAAATAAATGGCAAGAGTTTATTATTTGAAGATTGCCTTTATATACCAGAAAGAAGAAGAAACTTGATTTCTATTTCGGCTATTTCAAAATTTGGTTTGTCAGTACTATTTGATTCAAAAGTTTTGATAAAGGAAAATGGAAAGTTTATATGCTCTGGTACATTGGTGGACGGTCTATATCTAATTACTCCTACACCTCACTCCTTGTATGATACTGAAATGATTGATACATAGAGTGTCTTACCACAAAAAAGAAGATTCCTTTAAATAATTCTACATATCTTTGGCATTTGAGGTTAGGTAATGTTAATCTAAATAGGATCCAAAGACTGGTTAAGGATAGGCCTTTAGGCTTTTTAGCGTTCAAACCATTTTCAATTTACGAATCCTATTTGGAGGGTAAAATGGCCAAAAGGCCATTTACGGCCAAGGGACATAGAGCTAACGAGGTACTAGAGTTGGTGCATACAGATGTATGTGGTCCTATGAACATTAGGGCTAGAAGAGGATATGAGTATTTCATCACTTTCACAGATGACTACTCTAGGTATGGCTATGTTTATCTTATGCATCACAAGTCTGAAGCTTTTGATAAATTCAAAGAGTTTCAGGCAGAAAGTGAAAGACAGACGGGTAAAAGCCTAAAAACTCTTCGATCAGATCGAGGAGGGGAATACCTCTCTAGTGGATTTGAAGATCATTTACGAGAAAATGGGATTATATCCCAAACATCTGTACCAGGCACACCACAACAAAATGGTGTTGCTGAAATTAGGAATAGAACCTTACTTGACATGGTAAGATCGATGATCAGTTATTCAAGTCTACCAGTATTCTTTTGGGGATATGCTCTAGAAACGACGATTTATATTCTGAACTTAGCTCCATCTAAAGCAGTTCCTAACACTCCTAAGGAATTGTGGAACGGGCATAAGCCTATTTTACAAGATTTATGTATATGGGGGTGTCCTGCACTTGTGCGGAGAGGAAAACTTGAGAAGATGGGACCAATATCAGATGTTTGTCTTTTTGTGGGCTACCCAAAGGGTACAAAAGGTTATTCATTTTATGATCCTAAGGAGCTGTCAGATACTTTCATGGCTTGCATGGTAGTTACACTTCCTATCATTCACAAGGTTTTGAAGGCACAACTCACGGATCAGTAGTGCATTGACAAAGTTACAGAAATAGCTTCCGGTGAAATCCCATTTTACTATGTTGGGGCTGATGGAGGTTTGAGATACAAGGGCCGGTTGGTGGTACCTTCTGCTGATGATTTGAGGAAAGATGTGATGACTGAGATTCACCATTTTGAGTTTTCTATTCATCCAGGGGGCGACAAGATGTATCAGGATATGAAGCGGCGGTTTTAGTCGGCAAGTATGAAGAGGGACATTGCTCTTTTTGTCTCATAATGTAGTACTTGCCAGATGGTCAAGATTGATCATTAGAGGTCACCAGGAGCTTTACAGCCACTGCCGATACCGGAGTGAAATTGGGAGAGCATTTCTATGAAATCTCAGAACTCACCGCTACTAGTTTTACAGTGATGAGCTTATTCAACAATTAAGAAAAATATAGAAAAGATCTAACCAATCAAACACACCAGAGGTATTTTAATTTTTTTATTGAACTTTCATAGAAATAAAATTTTAAAGTAGGACCTCTTTGTCATGACAAAAATTTTGTAGCCCTTTATTGTTTTAAAGGTCTAATGCAGGATTATTAGGTAATTTTTCCTAATTTTTTTCAAGAAAATTATCAAAAATTATCAATTTTTTTTTTTTAAATGATAAAACAAAAAACACACAATCATATTTTACTCCCACCAAGACCCCTCATGGGAGAGAGAGCTTGTCCCATGTAATATTGAGTTACGGGGTTTAGGAGTGCACAAACCAAACCTCTCTTGTTGATATTGAGACAGGCAATTGGTAGGATCAGTTCGGTCCAAGCTTCAAAAACATAAAATAATAAAATTAGCCTTTTAATCAATCAATTATATATCATAATATATAATAATAAATAAATTGTAATAGAAAATTATATTATGTATCATATATATTTTTAATTTCATATATATATTAGATTTTATTTTTTTGCCTTTTATATATATTAGATTGATATATTAGATTGAATTATAAAAAAAGTAAGCGAAAACGAACTGATTCAAAAATTTCCATTTCCATTTCCATTTCCTCCTTTTTTATTTTTTAATTTTTTTTAATTTCCACTAGCCAAATTAGTGATTTGAATTTAAAATTAAAGAAAAGTTAGTCCAAATGTTTATATTATAATAATAATAATTAATTATTAGTAATTAATGTAGAATTTTCGCTGAATTATTATCGGATATTTGGGACGTTAACGTACGCGAATTCGCACACCATGGCCGACCAAGGAATTGAGTCGACCAAACACTACTTTGCCACCTAAATACTCCGTATTAAATTTGACTTCCCACATATATAGTGCAATATTTAATTCTCTCTCTATAATTCCCTCTCTCCCTTTCTCTCTCTCCCTCTCTCTATTTTTCCGTTTCTGTTTTTTTTTTTGTTTTTTTTTTCAGGCGCTCTCAGGATTGTATTGCGATACAAGAGGTATATTCTCATCTCCGATCACAACTTTTTGATTCGATGATCTGTACCTCTCTTTCAGCGTAAATAAATTTGTAGTTAATTGAATTATATGCAAATAAGGTTCATTCAATATAGATTTGTTAAATGTTAGGATTTTATATTCACGCGTGTTTTAGAAATTCGCGATCTTTCTGGTGCTCAAGATTTGAAGCTTCGGGGTTGGATTGGAGATCACTGTCGTGCGATCTTCCCCAAATTTTTTTTTTTTTTTTCTTTTTTGTACTTATTTTCCTTCAATTTCCGAGCAATCAAACGGACTTAGGCTCCGTTTGTTTGGCCATGAAATATTTGTGGGAAAATAATTTGTGTTTTCTGATTTTGGTTGTCCCAAAATCAGGGAAAATCTTTTATAACGAAATTTTTTTTCCTCCAAAACCTAGCTAAAACAACTTATGGATCAATCATTCGCCCCCATCGCATCCCGATCCCGATCTCGATCCCGCAATCCTTTCTCTCTGCCTCCACCAGTCCATAATAGAAATAAAACGTTTGCGTTTATGGGCCCAATTTTGTTCAGTTTGGCCGTCTTTTAGCCACTGAATTTCTTTACCCATTTTTATGTTTTTCGAATCAAGAAAATAAATGAAAAAACGAATTGTGTTCTAGGGCTCCTGTCGCTCCTTGAAGGCTCGAAGTCGGAGGATAAGATTTAGGTTTGTGTTTGGGAGATTAGCTTCAGTTTCATCAGGAGCAGTGCCGAAAAGATTACAAGTAATTAACTCATCCAATAGTTCCAATCTGGGTTCCTTTTTCGCTTTTTCCAATCTGGAATTGATCTCTTTTTTCTTGATTCCGCGTGTTTATGGAATCTTTTATATCTTTTTGATCAATTTGAATCTAATTTCATTGGTCTGGTTGATTATTGAAATTTGAAAATTTATGGGACACTTGCAATAGAAGATTTACCCCTTACCTTAGAGGCTTAGAACAAAAAAGGCAGGATAAATTGGATAATCAAGGTGGAATTATAGCTGACCACTTGTTATTTAACATAGTGTATTGCTTGAAATCATGCAGGTTACAAGGCAATCATTCTGGCTTCATTTATATTAATTCTTTCTTTTCAATGAACGTTGATTGAACCTTGCCTTGGACTTAAATGATTTTGCAGAGAAAACTGAGAAAGGGTTGTTATATATATGAAAATAATTTGTGTTTTCTGATTTTGGTTTTCCCAAAATCAAGGAATATCTTTTACGAAGGAATATTTTTTTCTCCAAAACCTAGCTAAAACAAACTTACGGATCAATCCTCCCGATCATGATCTCGCAATCCTTTGTCTCTGCCTCCACCAGTCCTGGTTCAGCTTCCTTCTACCACTCAGTGTTCAGGTTCGTTCAAGGGTCAAGTAGTCAGCATTTTGAGTGATAGAGCCTGCCCTCCTCTCTCTCTCTCTCTCTCTCTCTCTCTCTCTCTCTCTCTCTCTCTCTCTCTCTTCATGACGACATAGGCGACACACCCTCTCTCTTCACAAACGACTCCATCTCTCTACTCCACCTCTCTACTCCACCACAGACTCTCCTCAAACCATAGTCAATTCTCTTACACCATCGCATCTCCTCCGTCGCTGTGAAACCCTAGAAGAAAGCAACAGGTATGAGCTCTATATATTTACATATATATCTGATTTAAAAAATTTCAATTTCATTATAAAATCCGGCATGGCTTTGTATTTGGGATCCAGATTTCCATTGAATTCAAGTTCTTAATACCTTGACTTATGAAGTCAAGCTCAGACCTGAACCTGTCTATGGCGTGAAGTAAGTTCCAGCAGGCCTTAATGCCTAATTCTTTTGCCCCAAGACCTATCTAAAACACTTTGCAAGCTACCCCTTCTTCAAATAATCCAAGTGACGGGCCGGAGGCATATTGTATTTGATTTGACTTTTTTCTTCAATTTAGAAAGCTCGAGCAATAAAGGAATAGAACTTCCGATAACAAAAAGGTAAAACAGGCTAATATCAGAACCCACCTAATCAAATGTTTAGGCGGGACTTTGAAAAAAATATATATATATATTTAGGCGGGGAGAGAGGTCTGAATTCAGAATACTCTTCTCTTCTGGGAACAATTACCAATCTCTCTCTATTTATCTGTCCGTATGTTTTGGGTTGATTTGATTTCCATGCGTGTGTATATGTATTTTTCAGTCTTCAATTCGATTTCAATTTTGGCTTTCATCATTAGATTCAGAGAAGTCGAGTCTTCTTGAGTTAGGGAGGCCCCTCTTTAACTTAATTAAATATGGGATGTCCATGCTTTATCTCTTTTAAAGAGATAGCTTCTAGCTATCTATTTATTTGAATATAGACATAAAAAAGTTTATCCAGAAATTTATTTTATTGTTTAATGTGATGTATTTGTTATTTTGCTAATTTTCTAATATAAGCTATGGAGTTGGGCAATATATATTATTTTTTATTTCACTACCCACCCAAAGGTTCATTTTTTTTCCTTTGTACCCATGTTGGAGTACTTGGGAGTTGTTGTATTTTCTCATGTTGTATGTATTTTGTTGTGCCTTGCAATAATATGTTCTCTGTTGAAAACAATGTTGGTAACAAGCTTGTTAAATTATCATGATTAATATCTTTGAATTAATTCCACCTTCCTGGTATTTTATGTAAGCACTTGTTTGTTGAGTATGTTATCTTTGTTGAATAAGCACTTGTGAGTCTTAAGCTCCAGAAGCTGGTGCCTGTTATCATGAATAAGCACAGCACATTGTGTAGTAATTTGGCAGTGTTGGATGCTTTTGTATTTCAATTGTTGCTGCTGATCCGAACGTGGTTTAGTATTTTATTTATTCATTATTTTTTTTTTTTTTGCGTTTGCATTACTTTAGGTTGTATTTCTTGTCAAGAATGATAACTTCAAAAGATTTGGCATGAAAATTTTCAAAAGTAAGCACATTTGATGGTGGGAGATAGAAACTTTGGTTTATTTGTAATTTGAAAATTTTGAAATTATCTTTTAAATTTTGCTCGTCTCAACTCTTATCTTTATCATTTGAACATTACATATTTGATTGGTATTCCTAAAATTTTGTTGAAAGTATCAAGAACACTCGTTCAAATTTGAATTTTCTCATCAGCTTTGAGCTTTCAATGTATTTCCTTTTTTCTGGGTCATAGTTAGTTATGGTGACAGATTAAGATCCTTCTGATGACGAGTGCCAGTTTCTGGTGATGATTGCTTATGGTTCTTCAAGTGTGAGGCCTGGCTATTGTGGAATAGGCTATGTCTTCTCACATTTTCTCTGATTTTATTTTATTTTATTCAGAGTTCTAATTTTTTTTTAAAATACGTCCTTCATGTGCCTGAATCTAGTGTATGATTAGAAATAAAAAATACTAGGTTTGCTGGCTCATAATTATGCATGGTGGTAGTTTCATCGAATGATCTCTTAATGCCAGTCATGTATGGTTTCAAAAGGGATAAAGGCTAGTCCAAAAGAATAAAGAGATCCATGATCATAACTGGCTACACTTGTTTCCTTTGTTATGTTTTCTAGTATGTCTCACAATTTCTCAATCGTTATTCTTTTTCAATCGAAACAATTTACATTCATGATAACTGCGTTAAAGTGAACTACAAAATAGGTCTAGAGGTAGGGAGAGTTTTCATTTTTGCTTGGAAAACATTTTTTAAAAGCCACACACCCGAAAAAAAAAAAATTCCAGAAATGTTTTTCAAGATTTCTGCCAATACCAGAAAATGAAAAAAATGAAAATATTTTACTGTGAAAAGTTTTACACAAAAAATATTTTACAAGAAAAATATTTTACATTGAAACAAACGGAGCAATCCTCACCTTATATTGTGAATAAATCTTATTTTGTTTATTGAAAGTACCCTTCTTTTTTGAATTGATTGTTGTTTAATTTATATTTTGGGCTGTGTGCCCAAATTATAGGTATTTTTTTCCTTAATTAAGTTATAGTTTTCTTTCTTCTGATTTTCGTTCTGAGCAACCAAATATGCCAGTCCCGATATTTGATAAGATCTGATTCCATTAATTAACTTTTTAATTTGTTGTGAATCCTTCATGTTTGAATTGTGTACTTTTGAAATTGATTTTCTTTTTTCCTTGATTTCATTGCAGGATTCGGTTAGTATAGGATTGTAAGATGCTAGAACAACTACTAATATTTACTAGAGGGGGATTGATCCTCTGGACCTGTAAGGAGCTTGGGAATGCTCTTAGAGGCTCGCCCATTGACACCTTGATCCGTTCCTGCCTTTTGGAGGAACGATCAGGTGCCTCATCATATAACTATGATGCTCCTGGTGCTTCATACACTCTGAAATGGACGTTTCACAACGAACTGGGCATCGTATTTGTTGCAGTGTATCAGCGGATCCTCCATCTTCTATATGTGGATGATTTGCTTGCAATGGTGAAGCGAGAGTTTTCAGATTTATATGATCCAAAACGGACTGTATATGATGATTTTGACGATATATATAGGCAGCTTAGGAAAGAGGCAGAAGCACGGGCAGAAGAAATAAAGAAATCAAAGCAGTTCGGTAAACCTACAAATAATAGCTTGGGTAGGAAACAAGGCCAGATGCAAAAGGCTGGCCTTGATGGGGGTAATAAAAAAAAGAGTGGTGGTGAATCGGGGAATGATGGTGGGGATTCTGAAAAATCAAAAGGTCGTAAAATGGATAATGGGCATTCAAATGGGAATCATGCAGGGATTGAGAAGTCTCCTGTAATGGGTGCTGTTAGTGGTAAAGAGAATGAAAGTTCAAATTCTGGAGCTTTTGATGTAAATAAGCTACATAAGCTAAGAGCTAAAGGGGGAAAAAAAACTGATACACTTGTCAACAAGGTACCCAAGGCAGAGCCAAAAAAGAAGGCAACGAAGAAAAACAGAGTTTGGGATGACTCACCTCCAGAGTCAAAATTGGATTATACAGATCCGATGAGTGAGAACTTGGACGAGAATATAGTGGTTGTGGCAACGGACCATGGCGAGAGTATGATGGATAAAGAAGAAATTATCAGTAGTGAAAGTGAAACTGAAGAAGAGGAGGAAGCAGAGAAGGATGGTAAAACAAACTCGACAAAGAAAGGGTGGTTTTCATCAATGTTCCAGAGGTAAATTTATTATTTTCATTCCTTGATTAGTTTTCACTCTGTTCATTATCAATCAGATTGATTCCTAGGGTCAAAAAGCTCTTGATTTAAATTTTTTAATATTTTGTTCATTTTACACCCTTTCCATATTTTTATATGTTGCATATAGTAATCTTGGTGTGGTATAAGTTGGAGTTGGTGCATCTGTAGTGTTTCAGCCTAACTTTGTAGTGTAGGATTGCCATGTTTGTCTAAATGAGGATTATTACTGGATCAGAATGGAGCATTTGGGATTGACCCATTGGGTAGTACGAAGAACTGTACGATTTACAAGACAAAAATAATTAGTAGTATTGTTTTTAGATATAGGAATTGTAATGGGGAAAGGGAATAATTTAGAAGAATTTGAGGACAAATGTAGAGAATTAAGTAAGAATATCTGAAATATTAAGCACATGAAACAAGAACTAAACAATTTGAAATTTGTGAACTGTATCAGAAACAAAATTGAGATTAATGAGCTGTAAAAATGAGGTTAGTAACCAAAATTTTGTTAATGGAATGTGTTTAAGCTTGAGTGAAGTGTATTTGATATGATGTCAGTTTTGATTTTGTTGTGATTCATTCCTTATTGGATTGATGTGTAAGAACTAAACTAGTAGAAGTTTGGAAAATGAGAGAAGTGGAACTGCAGATGAATGGTAAGGCTACTGAGATCATTTTTCCCTCCTCTTTCGGTGAATCAATGTGGCATTTCCTGACTGTCCAATACCAGGGAAGGAAATGCTAAAGAAATTTGGAAAATAGAACCATCTCTAAAGTTAAAAAATTTATGGAAAGTGACCCTGTTTTTATTATTATGATATATGATTGAAGCAATTCATTTTGAAAATAACTATTCTGTATGTTAGAGGAAAATGTTAGTTTATAGAAAATGAAATTATTCTTTATTTTAAAAAATTCTGAAGTGAAGATTAGTTGATTAATATATAGGGTGAGTGATAAGATGACATGTTACTGAAGTGAAAGTGATATTAAGAGAAGTGCATGTCAAATTTTCAATGAATTGAATGTTGGGTCTTATTTTGTTTTCATATAGTGTTGGTTTCAGTGTTTCTATACCAGAAATTAGAAATATTTTGTGCCTTTTTAAAGGATGTTATTTTTTGTCTATTGCATTGCACTTCATTTCCATTTCCTTGCCATTGAAGTTGTTACATGCATCATTTTTCTCACAATGTTGTGTGCTCAGTATTGCTGGGAAGGCAAATTTGGAGAAGACAGACCTGACCCCTGCTTTGAAAGCCCTCAAAGATAGACTCATGACCAAGAATGTGGTATTATTTCTATCTTTTCTTTGTTTTTCCAGTTCTTCAGTACTTTATAACTTTTCTCTGTGCTTCCACATGCATTCTTATTTGTTCAGTACTCTCAATTTTACGAACTCCACTTATGGAAATTTCATGTTGTGGCACTCCCAGGCTGAGGAGATAGCTGAAAAACTCTGTGAATCGGTAGCAGCAAGTCTCGAGGGTAAAAAGCTTGCTTCATTTACAAGAATATCTTCAACCGTCCAGGTGTGTAACCTTCATCATTTTTTCTTTATTCGTCGCCTACTTCTGCATCATCTCTTTTACTGCTTCTGATTGCAAAATATTAGTATTATTAATTGAATTTTCCGACTGCAGGCAGCAATGGAAGAGGCTCTTGTTCGTATTTTAACTCCTAGACGATCCATTGACATATTGAGGGATGTGCATGCTGCCAAGGAGCAGAGGAAACCATATGTTGTGGTTTTTGTCGGAGTTAATGGAGTTGGAAAATCTACTAATCTTGCTAAGGTTAAGCTTAATTTATATTAGTATATTTTTGTAGAATATATATTTAAACGTTTAGCTTCTCACTTGACAGGCTATTCTCAAATGTCATTCTGCAGGTTGCTTACTGGCTTCAGCAGCATAAGGTCAATGTCATGATGGCTGCATGTGATACGTTTCGATCCGGAGCCGTTGAGCAGTTACGGACTCATGCACGTAGACTCCAGGTATAGTTTTGATGGCATATCTCTCTCTTTTGATCTTGAATTTCTACGGTAACAAGCAATGATACCCAAGATGGAGTCCTTCAGAGTATAACTGTGATAACTGACTTGTAACTAACCACCCTTGGCAGATACCTATATTTGAGAAGGGCTATGAGAAAGATCCGGCAATTGTTGCAAAGGAAGCGATTCAGGAAGCCACTCGAAATGGCTCTGACGTGGTTCTTGTTGATACAGCAGGTCGAATGCAGGTATTATTTAATATCATGTTTCAAAGGATTTATGTGTTGTAACTGGTTAGGGTTGTGTTTGGCAGGGCTTTTTGAGGGCTTCAAACGGGCTTCCAAGTCCAAAAAGCCCACTTTTGAAAATTTTGAGTGTTTGTCAAAATATTTGAAACGGACTTTCAATGGAAGTGGAAGTCATTAAAAGCCAGTTCCAAAGAAGCCTAGGAAACTTGCTTTCTAAACTCACTTTTCGGGAAGCCAGGAACTCATTTTAAGTAAAAAATTGCATAGATGATTTTGCCCTCTTTTATTTCCTGAAACTAGGGTTCGCAAGAAGAACGATGCTACACAGGAAGAGCGAAATAGTTGCAGAGAACTCTTCCACTCCTTTCAAATTCCAATTTTGAAACAATTCCTTATGAAGTCTTGCAGAAAATTACAAGGCTTGCAGAAAAACCAAGTCTTGCTAAATATATGCAAAGTTAGGGTTTTGAAGATCGATCAACATATTTATATGTGAAATTGGGGGAGAAGCACATAGAGGATACACTCAAGTGCTATCCTCCAATTCCATACATTAATAAGGATTTGTAGTTTAATAGAATGAAATTGAGAGTTGCTACACTCCTATTCATGGTATTATTCTTCATCTGATTCCAACACTTAACCTATTTGCCTCCGCCATATAGTTGAAGCCTGAATCATTGTTTTGGGTATGTTCCTCTCTCTCTCTTGAATTTCGTGGACCAATGAAGAGATTTGTATCGTAGAAATTCACTAAATAGTGAAAGTTAAGACTAGCATTCCTATTCAACAGAAGTCTAGCAATTACAATTTTAAAGGGATTCTAATTCTCTATACACCACAGCTATATTTATTTCGTTTTCCTACACTCAATTCAACTTTTAAAACCCAGATTAAATTTCCTAACACCTGCTATTTCTCTACTACTAATCAAAAAAAAAAAAAAAAAAAAAAACCTGCTATTTCTCTACACTTTTTGTAAAGCCCATTCATGCTCTTTATACTGATGTATGATATGTTGATATTGATTTTTTTTGGTGGTAAGATTTTGTGTGTTCCTTTAATAACATTGTAGTTTTTAATTCTCTAAAATAAAAACCTCTATATACATTCTTGTTTTTCTCAATCAATCTAACTTGCAAAAGCAATAAATCTCTGCACTTGTCGTAGCTCTCTCATTTTTTTTTTGTTCTCTTACAACTCAAGTTAGACAAATGATATTTTAGTGAGATTATACTCAAATTGGCATTGTACCAATTTATCTTAATTTCTTATTTTGTTGATGAGCTTTGCAGTTCCTACTTTTTATTCTAATTTATGATGCGGGTATTGTTGTTTACTGTGTTCCCTTTCCTATCATACTCCTTCCTTCACTTTTTTATTTTTATCTATGTAGGCATGTTTTGCTGCTTGTATTGTTGCTTTTATGGATATACTCTTGGCTGTTTTTATGTCAATTAAAACCAAAGACCAAATGATCTTATGTTGCGTTTGGGAGCACATAATCTGTGCATTGGATTTGGAATTGGAAGGAACTAAGTTAAAACTTTGAGCTAAATTTTCTCCAATCCCAAATTCATCGGTGCTCCCAAACCTAGAGCATTAGGCTTTTTAGCTCCTTGTCAATATAACTCAATGCCAAGATATATCTTGGAATTCTATGACTTAGTGACATTACGTAAATAACTGTTTCCTTTTCTCTTCATCTTCTTTCTTGGTGTAGTGCTTAAATTGAATGTAATAACATGTAATATGAATTCAAATTGATAAAGAAAAGTGAATAGAGTTTCTCCCTTTGATTTAATTGAAAATATATCATAGTACAGGGCAATTTGCAGAGCAAGCCCATAAACATTTAGTACATTAATAGATTCATACAAGCTTAAATAGTAAGTTTAAAAATCATCAAAAGAGCCCTATAGACTAATTATACTGTTAGATGTCTGCGACTCCTTGTGAGATCAATAAATAGTGAGTTATATATGAAGTTCTCCTTATCATCTCATATTCCCTCTACCATTGCTATGAAATAAAATGCTAGTGATTTTGATCCCAGTAACCTACCACTCTCAAGGGATCAATTGACATCTAACCTTTCATTCTTCATTTTACTGGTCTCCTGTGTTAACCTCTCAATGCATTGGTTCATGATCATGCTTTTGGTGTTGTACTTTTTTCTGTATTAGCTCAATGCATTGGTTCATGATCATGCTTTTGGTGTTGTACTTTTTACTTTTTACTTTTTACTGTACTGGTCTTCTGTATTAGTCTAGTGTTTATAAATCAAAGAACAATACTTAGGTCCTCACTGGTGAGGATTTACACCATCCTCACTAGTGATGTGGACCAATAATAAATCACCATCTCTGTGATTTGGTAAGTGATTATTTACACACCATAAATTTAGTAATGAAAGATGATATGTATGTTTATTATTGGTTCACATTACTAGTGAGAATGGTGTAGATCCTCACTAGTTATGTTGTTACCAAACGCACGTAATGTTAGTAAAATCACTTTTGCTAATGTTAGTAAAATCACTTTTGCAGATAAAAGTCCTTTTCAACAAGATGTTAACCGAACGGTTTTTTATTTTCAAATTTATTTTTGTAAAGTCATTTTTCTAAGCCCTTTATAGTGAAAAGGACTTTCTTTGTCAGGAAGCTCCCCCAAACATCACCTAGATAATCTGTTGTTGCAATCAAATGCAATATGCGTGATAGTGCACTTTTGAAGGAATTATGGGAACATAATCCACAATTGAATAAATCTTACTGGGTTGACCAGAGCAAAGCTTGTTGCGACAAATGTTACACCCTGAACTATGTCCTTTATAATTATACGGAGAAATCATCCCACTGTCACATCAATGCTACGGCCGATACGGTTTAGGCATGGAACATGGTGAATGGTAGAATGAGAGTGGCCATCACACCTTGTGACAGCCGCATGGAATAATTTTCCATATGGAATGGACTTCGAATTTTCATTGCATGCCATTGCATTTTTATGATTTGTTATACTATATTTTACAGGATAATGAACCATTAATGCGAGCACTTTCAAAGCTCATCAATCTCAACAGTCCTGATCTGGTCCTGTTCGTTGGTGAGGCACTGGTTGGGAATGATGCTGTGGATCAATTATCGAAGTTTAATCAGGTTCAGTCTCTATAACTAGGCTCTCACCTTTCCTTCTCATTATCTCTCTCCCTCTCTCTTTGGGTCCATATTTATTTATTTGTCGTACTATATGATTTCATGCATTTTGTTTAGTGGCATTTGGTGTGTACTTGTGCAGAAATTAGCTGATCTCTCAGCCTCTCCTAATCCCAGACTGATTGATGGAATTCTGCTCACCAAGTTTGATACCATTGATGATAAGGTAGATGATGTTATTTAACTGAAGAGAATGCATATATTTGTTGGAAACTTCTTTTCAAAACGAAAAGATGAAATGAATAATTAAATGCACAATGAATACATTTCATCATGTTTGCCCCATATGAGTATAGCTAGTGGTTATTTCCTTTAGTGGGTCTAAATTTTGGGCTTGTATATCATAGCTCTTTTTAATGATCTCCAACTTGGTTTATGACACCTGGAATAATTGGAATTGGTGAATGGCGTAGGTTGGAGCAGCGCTGTCGATGGTTTACATATCTGGAGCACCTGTCATGTTTGTTGGCTGTGGACAGTCTTATACAGACCTCAAGAAGCTCAATGTCAAGTCCATTGTGAAGACACTCCTTAAATGAGAAAATGTGTTGGTCTCACCCTTTCAGTTATAGTTTATCTAAGCACGCCATCCTTCTCTGTGTTATCAATTCTCTATCCATGCTGCAACTTGTATACTGTCCCTGTGTGATCTCATTACTTTGATGTTGGAGGTGAATTATTGCATGCTGTTGTTAAATCTCTCTCTCTCTCTGTGTGAAGCATCAGATTTGAGAATTGAGTTGAGCATTGATCCATTCTAGCTCAAGCTTGGTATTGAGATCTATATTAGTGTTCGAGCTCGAATATACTCATCAGAGTTGAGTGAGACAAATTTCAAGCTCTCAAGCTGGCATGTTCGTGAACATTTTGTTTATGAACTTTGTTTGCAAGTCTGCCAAATCGAACCTTGTGTATTTTGGGGTTCGAACCAGCTTTGGAATGAGTTCATAAAACATTTGGTTAAAAAATGAATTCGAGCTGAGTGTTAATGTAGCCTTGCTTAAGCTGTTAATGCATGTGAGAAATTTGAGATGGGTGACTATCAGATCACAGATTCGGATAATAAAGCAAGTCCACTTTGATATCATATTCATGTTTAAATTCCAGTCTTTGACTCGTTCATAAATTTAGAGTTCGGCCTACGTTCAGGAACTTATAATATTCATAACTTGCATTTTTTTTTCCCTTTATATAACTTCACATAAGTCTATGTTAATGAATTTGTTCATAAACTTAGGCACAAGGGTGCGCAAAAAATCGTTAGAATTTTGAAGCCGGTAGGTAACGCACTAAACTGCCGCTTCAGTTCAATTTTAGTTCCGTCTGGTTCCAAAATAAGAAAGTGTTAAATCAGGGTACGTTTCAGGTTCAGATGCAATAGAATCAAACTAAATGAAATGGATATGTATTAAAATATTAATAGACACTTTGTTTTTTTCTGATTACATTACATTTTTTCTGATTACATTACATTTTTTCTGATTACATTACATTTATCATTTTCTTTTAAAGGAAAGTCCTTAAATTCGTTAATGTATAATTCCTTTCGTTAATGTATAATTCCTTACTTTATAATGTCGTAAAATTCTTTTATACAAATTTTTTTTTTTTTTTTGACCTTTTTTACTTTCTTTACTATTTTTTTTTTCTTTTTGTTTCTTTACTATTTTTTTTTTTCTTTTTGTTTTTTTCCAAAGGTCCTCTCAAAGAATATAATTTATTTTATACTAATAATTTTATTTTTGGCAGTCAAAAGGGATAATTGATGCCATATCGACTTTTTTTTTTGGTACAATCAAAAGAAATATTTATTCAACAAAATTGACTTTTTGTCCTAACTTTATTTTTTGGTAATTTTTTATGTTTCTTGTCAAAAGAAATAATTTATTTCATAAAAAGTCTTATCAAAGGAAATAATTTATTCAATAGAGATAATTTTTTTTTTTAATCATCGTCCTTTTGTACTTTTTATTATTATTATTTTTTTGAGATATCGACAAAAGAGATAATTTATTCAATAAATATATTTTTTTGGGATTTTTTTTCTTCATATCAAAAGAGCTAAGTTTTCAAATGGTTACTTTTTATTCTTTTATCCGGCCAAAAGAGGCAATTTATTCAACATAACAATATTTTATTTTATTTTTGGTCTCTTAAAAAAAAATTATTCAATTTTTGTTTTGTTTTATTTGTGTTGTCAAAAGATACTTAAAATATTAAAAATTAGAAATAATGGGAAAAAATATGAAAGGACAGTTGTGTCATTTAAAAAGTAACAATTATTACAATATTAATAAACAATAATATAACTTATATTACAATATTAATAAACAACAATATAACATATGTCACGAGGAGAAAAAAAAAAGATACTAACACAAGTACACAACCATATATTTTTTAGACTACACAGAATTAAGGATCCTGCCAAATTTTTAATTTTTTTTAATTTTTTATTTATTATTAATTTTTTCAAATTGTAAAAACAAACACACACCTTTTTGCCCCTGCTTAGCTCAAACCCCTCCCCTCCTCTTTGAAAATGGGAAAGTTATATAGTTAGGTCAAAAGTCTTTTGATTAATTTGTATTTACTATGAAAAGCCAAATTAGTTTTTTTACTTTTTGGAAGATAACATAAAAAAACTAAGGGCCGGTAATCTAACGGTATTTTCAAAGAATAAATTATTCATTGCAACAGTTGCAATAAATAATTTCTCGTCCCAAAGTGGATGGCGATGATTCAATTACCTATAAAGAGCAAATAGGTGTGTGAGTTTCTTACTGAAGAAAAAATAAATAAATAAATAAAATATAAAATTATAAAAAAAAAAACGTGATTTAAAACCGAACTAAACCGATATTTCACACGGTTCAATTTGATTTGGTTCTACTCTGTTATAAGTTTTAACGGTTCTGATTTCAATTTTTTTAGCATCTGTTGGAATCGCTACGGATTTAGCTTGGAACAGTGCTGAATCTGACCATGTGCAACCTAAGAGCTTAGTTTACCCTATCCTGCTTGACAAGGTTTAGAATTGTCTCATTTTAAATAATATTTAGTTGTTATGAACAACTCACTTGATTTGCCGCTTATATATTAATGAAGTTGGTTTTATATGAAATTGCAAATCACAACAAAAGGAAAATATATAACTAACAAATAATTATTTTGTTAATTAAAGAAAGTGAAGTTTCTATATTATCACAATCTTTTTATTTTTATATTTTTTTTATAATTTGAAAATGGAAAATCTTTAACTTGGTATTTTTAGAATGCTGCAAGATAAACCTCTAATATTATCTCAATCGTTTGCCGTTTAAATTACAATCAAAATGTCATCTTATGATAATTTAAACGAAAATGACATTTATGTAAAGTCCAATCTTTGACCTTACATATTAAAGTTTTTCCTTTTCCAGCAGTACACATCATTAATGTGGTTAAAATTGTTATGAAATAAAATAAAAAATTTAATGTGACTCAAAAATACAGAATCTGAGCCTTAAATTTTAAATTTAAAGAAAATTTAGTTCAAACATAACATAGAGAGTTATTATTACTTATTAGCCTGTTAGAAAATACATTTTCTTTTCTGAAAAAAAAAAATTACATTTTCTTTTCAATGGGACATACATGTATGGGCTACGGTATACACTGTACATAATTCCTAAATTGGTCTTGGAAAGTTTTAAAAATGCCGATATTTTAGGGGTGTTTAAGTCATTTGGGAGAGATTCTTTTTCATCCTTATCTAAATAAAGAGAATGAAACGGCTATTTTTTTTTTTTTGTTAAACAGAAACGGCTAATTTTGCCAATTATCAGTTAAATTATGCATTTAAGTTTTAAGTTTATTCAAATTTAAAAGACTGTCAAGTGCCATATGTGCCACACCTACGCAGCTTCGTAATTCCAAACCAAGCTCCGAGCCTGGCTAGCAAACCAAACCAAATGGCTATATAATAGAGCCAACAAAAACCCTACTCTGACACACCCAGCCACAGTCTCTCTCTTTGTCTCTGCTTTTCCTGTATTCTCTGCTCAAAGAAAACGTTTCTTCTGCAGCATCAATGGCTTCCTTCAGAACTCTGTTTGCATGTTTTGCTTTCATGTTCTTGTTCACATTCTCAGAATCCAGAGAATTTCTGCTTGGTGGCAAAGAAAACTCATGGAAAATCCCATCATCTCCCGATGATTTCAACAAATGGGCAGGGAAAATCCGGTTCTTGATCGGCGATTCTCTCGGTAATTTCATTTTCATTTCCAGACTTCCAGTTACAATATATATATATATGTGTGCGCTTTAATATGGGTTATTATGTTCTTGCTTATTTCGTGTATTCCCCATTATTTCTCGTAAAGTTTGGTTCTTTTACTCCACTTTTTCTCTAATCTCTCTTTTCTTTCACGATTTTCCATCTGGGTTTTTCATTTTCTCTCAGTTCTTCCGTGTTTTCTATATGGGTTTTTCATTTTTTTTGCTCTTTTCTTGATCATCAAGTGGCGTTAACTTTCAATAGAATTTTCATGCATACGGTTTCTTTCTCTTGCAAAATCTTTAGTAGCCAAGTAATCATCTTTCCTATAATTTCTATCTGGGTTTTTCTGTTTTCTTGCACTTTCTCTCTTGCCAAACACTAATCATGCTTGATTTCTGATCTGAATATATACAGTTTTGACGTATGATGCCAAGGCTGATTCTGTGCTGCAAGTGAGTGAGGATGACTACAAAAGCTGCAACAAAGCGAAAACCATCAAATCATACAACGACGGCCACACCAAGATCGAACTGGACCGATCAGGGCCGTTCTTTTTCATCAGTGGAGCTGAGGGGCACTGTGAGAAAGGCCAGAAGCTGGAGGTGAAGGTGTTGTCTGCAAAGCATGGCTTGAAGGGTACTCCTCCGGTGGCTTCTCAGGCTCCGGCACCTGCGCCAGCTGTCTCTGAGCCGGAATTTAATGCTCCGGCACCTGCTCCCAACAGTGGTGTCATGGTTAGGGCTACAAGTCTTGGTCTGGTCTTGGGAAGTTTGGTTGGGTTGGCTTTGGTTTAGAGAGAGAAAGTGAGAGAGAGAGAGGGGTTATCTGTTTGTTAGTAGATGATAGAGATAAGTTTGCTTAGCAGTGTAAGTAAATGGTTGAGATAATTTGGGGGGATTGAATTAGATAGATAGTCAGTTATTGTCATCCTCATCCTCATTATGAGTAATAAAATTAGTGTTATTATTAGTTACATATGTATCACCATTATGGTAATTTGGAACATTATGTGTGTTTTATATTATAATTAATTCATTCCATTTTTGTATGTTAAAAATAATTTCCAAATTAATGGTGGTGATATCAATGGCCTGGGCCGTTTAGAGTCCTGTTAGACTTCTGATATGATCTCTTTTTTTCAAAAAAATTAAATGGTAAATTGCAACACATTGGAACAGTATAAGAGGCAGGCGATAGAATCTATCTTATTAACTGTTGTGTGTGAGTATTTTTTTATTTTTATTTTTTTGAAATGTATGCGTTTTTTAGGACAACTACTTATTGTGGTAAAAAATAAAAAATAAAACGGATTCAGATCATTACTCTCCTTTGTGATAATAGTTTTTTGACAGTAGTATATAAGGTGTTATTGCTGTCACTCCAGTTAATTTCATTATTCTTCTTTTATATATATATAAATATACAAATATGTTATATCAAGTTGAAAAAATTCGATTAGCATGAAAAAAAAGAAAAAGAAAATAAAAGAAGAAAATGATACAACCATAAATGAAAAACTAAAAAGATAAGGAAATGGGTTATGAAAAACTAAAATATAAGGAAGGTAAAAGAGACATATTTTTTGGAAACAAACAAGAGTAGTAATAATGTCTATTTAAATTGAAATTTTAGAATAATCAAAGTACAAAATAACTGTAATTTCCAAACAACCCTTATATAAACCTGTTTTTTTTTTTTTTTTTTTCCTAGGTTAATTGGTACCCCACTTACCCTTGTGAACGCTTTGTTATAATTTCATTGGTTGAAATAGAAAGAATAAAGAAAAAAAAGATTTCAAGTCATTTTGAGTAAAAATTAACACCAAGCTGTAACATAATTAAACTTTAGAAAGAAAAAAAAAAATTGATAATATTAATTATAAGAAAAAAGAAAAAAAAAAAAAAAAAAAAAAAAAAAAAAAGAGAGATGATAGTCTTAACCACTTATTATGGCTGGTCGATTAATAAAGAAAAAGAAAAAAAATAATAGTAATCATATTTGAGGAAATAATGGAAAGAAAACTATTTAAATTAATTTACTACCGTACCCTTTTTTTCCTAAAAAAATTTCATTAAAAATATTAGTCTTTTTCTTCCATTCCCTCCCACTTTTGAAATGATAACACAACCAACTCATCAAACTTTAATGTATCAAAAATCTTTCAGAATTTTCATTTTTTTCCTTTCCAGAATTTTACACCAAACACCAACCCCCAAAAAAAAAAAAAAAAAAAAAAAAAAAAAGACCAATTCTTCCACTTTCTTTCTTTTCGTTTCGTTCCATTTGCTTTCAACCAGACTTGGCCTTAAAGATTGGGAAGCCATGAAATATCAATATATAACCAGCCCTGACTCCATCGCCATTCCAAGAAAAAGTCAATCTATATAATTAACCTCATATCCATATATATATATATATATATGCCACGTGTCAAGCTATGCTCTATTGAATCTTCATGATCCCACATTTCAATATATATTGACTCCTTCCATCCCCTATTTCTCGTATGGACCGCAGTTTCCCTCTCTTCTTCTGTCTAAAACTTCTTAACGCTACAATACTCTCATGCACATACACATTCATACACAAAAGAGATACAGAGAGAATATAGATTACTTAATAACATTGTAATTAAAAAATAGCTAGTGTGTAAAAATGGTAGGAGCAGGAAATATGAAGGCGGCCGGAGTGCAGGCGGCCCCAAAGATGCCAGCGGCGGGAGAGCACGCCAAGGAGGTACTTCACCAGGGGAGCAAATTACCATACTGCCCCGCAAGAATGGCCATGGGTGGCTTCGCGATGGCGCTCACCATTGGTTACTTTACCTTGTACTCCAAGAAAAAGCCTGAAGCCACCGCCATCGACGTCGCCAAAGTAGCCACCGGAATGTCTACTTCCGAGAACACCCACCCTCGCAACTAAGTAGATTTAATGCATGCATTCATGCATGTTCAAACAACTATATATATATATATATATTATATAGTACTCTGTGCATTTTGACTTAGATTTGTCTTCAACAATTTTGTATTTTTCATTAATTTCCTTGTATTCGTTTGAATACTCTGTGCTTCTTGTTGTTTATATAATTCCTTTTTGTATGGCCTATATATGACTTGTAACAAATAAAAATCAACATGTATACATGTGGTGTCTTTTGTCCTTATGTATTAATTTTGCCACCTTTATGTCCATTCAGTCATGTATGTATGTATACATACATATATATATATATATATATATATATATATATATTGGAATATTTGTAACATGGCATTCTTTATCGGACTAATACCTACCATGCACTTTATGCATTATCAGTTTCAACGTTCAACTAATAGAATAATTCGATACGCAAAGATAAAACAGACGCAAAAGTGGAGGTTTTTGCACCAAATGAAATTAGTTTATCTCATTATGATTTGTTAATTTTAAAAAATAAAAATTAATTAGGAATTTGATATGAGGTTAAGGGCCATTATACATTGTAACATAGCTTGAATTGAAATTCATTATTCGAAGTTGCGATTGGATCTGTTCAAATTTTCTAAAGACCTAAAAAATTCTCGTTTCTAATTAATAATTACAATTATTTGAATACATTCTTAATTTTATTTAACCACAGGTACCATATCAGATGTGAATTAAATTTGAATCAATCTATGTCGATTGACTGTGCCCCTTTAGCATATATTTTTTTACGGTAATTCAGTATATTTTTACTATCAACTAGATGTCTATTGTCCTTAAATAAATAATTTGATGTGATTTCTATAAATAAAAAAAGAAAAAGAAAAAAAAAGGGTACTGTTGGTCTGTATATTGTCTTCTGTTCATGAGCAGGTTTAGCTCCTCTCATGAAACACTTTATTTTATTTTAATTTTTTGTTTAATATTTTTACTATATTCTAATAGTTTCTTTATCAATAAATAAAGATTTAGTCAATCTTACACGAGTCAAATAGCATGTTCCCGAACCTATGCAAGTTGAGCCGAATCTATTTTTCTCTCTCTAATTTGTTGAGTCAATCCTAAAATAAGCACATTTATTCACTAAATAAATCACAACATTATTTATTTATTTATTTATTTATTTTTTTGAAAGGTTAGGTAATTCCACACAAACAAAATTAATCTAAGTTTTCATGATTTTTGTGGATAATCTATGCCATTTGCCAACGCGGGGTTCTTTTGTAAATTCTAACGATAAACAAGTTTAATACATAATGTTGTGATTTATTGGAAAAGGAACTGGTATTTGGTAGTTTTATGTGATATTAGGATAGAGTTTTGGACATATAAAGTTAAGTGTTAATATCATCTAATAATTTAAATTTTTGAGTTAAATCGCGAATCACATGCTATGACAAGTGATATGAGAACACCACAAACAAATTTGTAACAAATTTGTATGCATTATTTTAAATATATTTTTTTCCTGGATTATTTAAAATATTTTTCACCAAAGTTGAAATTTTCTTTTTTATTTTGTTTTAGGTGTTTGAAATATTTTTTTAACTTGTACACTTACTTTGTTTGGACTTATATACTCGACCTTTTGTAAGTGTTGTATTATTTGAGTGGTCTTTGTGTTTAGTGTTTAGAAACTCATGTTGTGTTTGAACCTTGCACGATATCCTCTAACTTGCCTTAAAAAAAAATGAAATAAATAAATAAAAGTACTCAGGCCTTTTACTTTGAAATATAACAAAATACCATTAAACTACAATTTTTTATATTTAATTGGATTATGACATTTTATTTATTTATATATTTTTTTAAATTATAGTCCAAGAGAGTAATTAGATGCCTGGAATCAACACATCTAATTTTTATATATCATTGAAACTTCAAAACAAACATGTTATATTTATAAAATTATTTAAAAATTTAAAAATTAATATCTTAACTTGAAAATTTTTGAATGCATGTTTTTGCACAAATTTTAATAAAATTTGTTGTTGATGATGATGATTGAATTTTGTAATTTGTGAAAATAATTTCAATAAAGCTAAAATGTATCTTCGTCACTTAGCCGTCTACGAAGACAATCGTGTCGTGCAGACAATACATGATCGAATATTCTTTCTATTTTATTGTATTTTGTTTTTGACCTTTCTTTTAAATGATAGAAAATAAAAAAATAAAAAAAAGAAAAGAAAATAAAAACAAAAGAATAGGCCAAAATGGAAAACAAAAAAGTCCTACAAAAATTAAATAATAATAATAATAAATAAACAAATAAAAGGGAGAAATTAGAGAGGGAGGAGGCAGTCATTTTCCACATATTCTCTCACTTCGTTTCAAGTGGGGAAGGAGTTATCTTTTGACTTCGTTTCAGCTTTTTCTTCTTCACCTCTCTCTTCTTCTTCTCTCTCTCCTCGCAGAACTCGCCTGCAGTCGTGCTTAAGCACTTCTCGTCTATATTTAACTCCAAGGTTTTAAGTTATGATATAATCGGAAGAATTTCACTGTAAGTTGTTCTCTCTGATCTTCAATTCTCTCTGCAGTCCAATCTCATGTGTACATATACCATAATAGAAATAGATTTGTTATGAGCATATATGCATATATCTATGTGATTGTAGGATGATGAGATTTCTTTTTGCAATTTGTTACTAATCGTGATAGATTCGCTTATGATATTTTTTTTAAGATATTGGATTTTGGTACTCTATATGAGTATATGGTATTCGAGATTTGAATTGGTGAAGTCCTAATTTACACCGACTATATTTCTTGTAATAATCACTGGCTGTTTCTGTTCATCTACTTGAAATTCACGCCACACAGTGACTGTAAAATTGATGTTGACAAGCTATGGGTTCAGTGCTAATGCCTTAATTAGAAGTTTGATTAGATAATTTGTCCTTTTTTCCTGAATTATAGAAGAGTTTGAATTTGATTATAAGTGGGTCAATGGATTGAATTGGGCTTCTTGTAGTAATTTATGAGATTTCAACCATTGCAATCAAAGTGTTGACAGTTTTGTTACAGTAGTCGCAACTCCCAATTCCCAACCTGGGTTCGGGTGGCCCAGTGAATAAGGGGTCTTATGGGGTGTGTAAACTTGGACACTCTAGGTTTGCTCCTCACTAGGCACACACACTCGGGTTTAAATGATATGTGTGGTTTGCGGGTGATTGCACATATCTAGAGTTTGCAAACCAACCGAGAATCCAAAGTGGCTAGCTGGTGCGTTGATTCTTCGTTACCAAATTAAAAATAAAAAAATTCCCATATAAAATAGACTCTACAGAACAGAGGCATTAGTAAATGGGTAGTAGATATTAATCATATTACTATGAGTGGTAAAGGACAAAAAAGAAAAAAAAGTAATTTCAAGTTTATACAATGAAAATCGCAACAAAAAAAATTCATTATTATGTCTGCCTGGATTGTCCCACCTGTTTGGGCCTTGTGGCATTTATGATTCGCAATAAAATGCAATAAGGTTCCAGGGTAACCCAAACTAGCAGAAGCATAATTGCCAACATCTAATGAAAATGACAAATGTGAAAGTGATAATTTTGGATCTCTTTGAGATTTAACTTTGGATTTTTGGGGGTTAACTGAATTATGAAAAGTATGGGATCTAATTGAGATGTGCATCTCCATATACATTACAGTTGTAGTGCATTCTTTATTTAACTTTGACATCCCAAATGTAGGACTTCCTCCGTATTTGAGTGGTTGGTTCACTTTTTCAATGAGAGAAACTTAAAACTTTTCGGACTCTTCTGTAAGAGTTAGGGCTGAATTTGACATGTTTTAGCTGCTCTTCTTCATTATTCCAGTTATAAGCTTTTGGACTGCCTCTGTTACCCTAGGTAATAGCCCATTGAAAGTGTAGATAAGTACACAGCTGCCTGAAGTGAAACCATTATGTGATGCATTACAGAACGTATTTTGCATTATTGTTTTTGTCATTTATGAAAAAAAAAATTCTTTGCAATGTGCAATGGATGATGAAGTTATTGAATAACACCTTCTGATGAAGAAGCAAAGTAATAATACTTTGTTTAGAACAATAAATAGACCAGGAAGGGATTTAATTATTGGTTTTGCATGCAAGCTTGAACTTGTAAAAGGATTTTGGAAAAATATCAATTTCAACAAACATGCGATCATATTTTAAGAATCCTTTTTAAGGATTTGCTTCAACAAACCACCTGACCCTCCCAGTCTATCAGCCAATTATTGTTAGTGGATAGAAGTAGAAAACAATATTCTACATTTACGGTGATAAATCAGAAGCAAATTTAGATGAATCATTATTAATTAATTTATAAAGCAATTCCAAATGTCGATTATGTGGCCAGAAAACTATCTGTGCAGAAAACTAAAGGGGTATGTAATGCAACCCACGTTAGAATTCTGGAAGATAAGAAAACATATATTTTGAAACCAAATTAGGGGAATGGGGCAGGGAAAAAGTTTTCATGCGAGTTCCATCGGTGAGTCGGTGACAAAGAAGAGAGAAGGGAAAACGAGAGAGAGATCAAAGCTTTTCTATTATTTTATTGATAAAAATATGTCATTGTCTTTAGAATACTAGATTATGTTCCGTGAAGTTGACTATATTTATATAAAAAATATTACTTAATTTCAACTTTTCTGCTGGACTGCAGCTGGTATTTATGTACTTATTTGTACAAAATGTTCGACTGTGGTTCCAAGCTACATTTTATGGATGGCCAGCGAGAAAAGTTTGTAAGGTACTGTATTTTTATTATTTTATCGAGATTATATGTACTGTTTTCAATTCTTTTTCTAATGAATTTACTTTCTTCAAGTCCTCTACCTTTTGGACTGAATCCACATTTCGCTCCTTTGGCCAAAGTTATTATTATATTTCATTTGATTTCTTTACCTGCTAAAAAGTATTAGGACATTTATGAAGACTTATCAGAAAGAGCAGAGGATTGAAGTTGATGGAATTTGTACACACTTCTGATGGTTAATAGCTTAATCTTATTTGACAAAAAGGTTGTCTCTTTGAACTGAAATGAGTTATCTGATTGAGTGGGATTAAACATCTTCCATGCACACTAAGTTCGATGTTTGAGGTGTGTTTTTCTTAAAATTTTGGACTAGTCGTACTTTCCCTCGAAATTAACTTCTTTCAAGTTTCTGAACGAAACCAATATATCTACCTTTTCAAAAATATTCCATGCAAGTTAATAAATTGAAACCTTCTACACTTTTATCACTTATCAAAAAAAAAAAAAATTACGGCATTGGCATCCTTGTGATTCTTGAGCTCCAATCAAAACAGAGCTTCCTTATTCAATTACATTCATCTATAACTTGCAACTTGTAATTTTAGTTTTTCTTTATTCATTACATATATATTTAAACATATATACATATAGAGATACATACTAGTTTAGCTTCCACCTACCCACGATTGGTGGAGGGCTTAAATTAGTATGTTAAACAAATATTCAATTAAAAAAAAATTACGAGGTGGGCTTAGTACCACCAACAGCACTAACTTTGAGCCAAAACTTTTGAATAGTTCACAGAAAGTGGACTTACTAGTCTTTTAAACACTTATGGAAATTAATGGTCTTTCTGAGAATAATTGTGTATTCTCTTTCCTTTTCATTCTTAAAAGAAAGAATAAAGAAGAAGAGGAAAAATAGATGCCCACTCTGACCTCTTTTCCCTATAAACTTAAGGTATAGTGAATAATGCTTCAAATTTTAAAAAAATTTTAAACACATTTATATCCTTCTTAATGTTTTGTCGTTGTTATTATTGTTGTTGTTGTTGTTTTCGTGATGCTGGCCTTTTATTCTAAAACAGTTTAAGATTTTCTTTATGTATCTTTGACTCACTCAATTCAGTTATATAAGCTTTAAGTTCCATACTTAAATCAACTGAAGTAGCTGAGCATCTGTGCTAGTGTATCCAAACAGTTATTCTATTGTGGTAAAGTAATTACATGCCAAGTATCCCAGTGGTGGGCATCAGTCTGTGTTAAAACTTTTAGGGTTTAAAAGTAATGCATCCCGCAGGTAGTTGCCTGGTGAATATTTAAAGGCATAAAATTGGGCCACGTTCCATTGCAAGGAATTAATAGTGATTACCAAGTAAGAAAAAAAAAAAGGAATTAATAGTGATGAGTTATCAAATTTTGACGATTTTTTGTATTATTTTATGTCAAACTTTTCATAATGTAAATGGCCTCTATATTTATATTATATACGCACAAACTAGTGTTGGTGAATGTATATATGTATGTAAATTTAATGTATCTTGAGGAAACTTTTCTAATTCCACAAAGGATTTGAATGTGTGCTCAAGCTGCTGAATTTTAATTTTATTGAATCACTTATCTTTAATGATATCTATGACTTTCTGTGTGAAATTAGACATGAATATCTTTGCTTAATTAAAGCCTCGTCGATGATGTAAGTACATTTCCAGGGCAGCCATCTGAGTAGACATTTTGTGCAGGAAAATTTCTTACTCTGATTTTCTTACCACTTTTCAATAATTTTATCTTAAAAAGAGGCTTCAGAATGTATGTGTTCTTTAATATCTCTGGTTGGTTCCAATGGTAGATGGCTCTTTCCTTGGGTGCTTCAGGAGATGGCTTCTAATTTTGCGTATGCTGGTCTCTGTATTTTTTAGGTTGGACGATTTGGACTCTAGGTTATCATCACCATCTTCTTCATCCGGAATGACCAAATGTGGATTTAATATTGAGGGCCTAACTCATGCCAGTCATGCAGCTAATACACCATCTAAATCTTTTAAGAGAGGAGTGAGAAAAGGATCTGAAGGACTTAAGTCGATTGGTCGATCACTTGGATTTGGGGTTTCTCGGGCAGTATTTCCTGAAGATCTTAAAGTGTCAGAGAAAAAAATATTTGATCCTCAAGACAAATTCCTTCAACTGTGGAATAAACTTTTTGTCATATCATGTATTCTGGCAGTATCTGTGGATCCTTTGTTTTTCTATCTTCCAGTTTTCGATCCATCATTAAATTGTCTAGGGATAGATCGGAAGTTAGCAACCATAGCAACAACACTGCGGACAATCGTTGATGCTTTCTATCTTCTTCACATGGTTCTCCAATTCCGGACGGCCTACATTGCCCCATCATCTCGGGTTTTTGGACGAGGTGAACTTGTGATAGATCCTGGGCAAATAGCTAAGCGATACTTGCGGTGCTATTTTATCATCGATTTCCTTGCTGTTCTTCCCCTGCCACAGGTTTGGGGTATTTTTGTCTTGGTTCATTTGTTTGTTGCTATTTCAGGCGTCATGAGCCTTGTTTCAATGTTTCTCACAATCAAATAGATGTTTGTTTTTTTAAAATTGGCATTTTGGAACATGCAACTCTATTTTCTACTACTAGAACCATGAAATATTCCTTTTCCTTTGATGCTTTTTTTGTATATAATTTTTGTTTATTGTTTCTTTTACAATTATCCACAGTTTTTTGTCTGTAGACGTTTTTAACACACCACTAACTATGATATCTGCTTTAGCAGGCTTTTCATTTTCTTAAAATTTCTACAGCAGCCATATCCAGTGTAGTATCACACTCATTTTAGATAAGGATATGACATGACTGGATCACCCAATAAAAAAATAGAATAAAAATCTTTATATATTTCCACAATTTAGTATAATTGTTACATCTCAATCAATCTATAGAAGATTTCTAGACTCATAATCATTATGATCAATAATCACATGTACTTTTCTTTTTTTGATGGATAAAATTTAATATAAAGTATAGAGCACCAATGGGAGTGGAGTCGGTGTACACATGATATCTCCCAACAACTTTCCAAAAGAATCATTAGAAATGCTATCATGAATAAGATATTCCGTCTGCAACTTGAGTGGTGCTGGCTGTCAACTTATTTGCTAAAGAATATCATACAGTATAAGCCAGGGGTTCCTCCTCCTCTCTCTCTCCGTGTGTGTGTGTGTGCGCGCGCACGCTCAAGCATTGAGAACGAGCAGTTTCAAGTAAATGATATCTCCTATGCAAATAAGCCGGATGGGAAGACTTTGAACAGTCCACACATCCATGACTTCAATTACTTCTCAATAAACCCCCATTTTCTAAAACATGTTTCAGACCTTGTTGTATTTAAATTAAAACATATCAGGTATTTCCTAGGCATTTCTCGATGTGTTCAAATTGTTAATGGTTGAATTTTAAGATACATGCAGGGTGTATCTAACTAGTACTGGGATTAGTGTCCTGCACTCCCAAAATATTACAGTGTGTTCCTCAAGTAGGTATCCACGATGTAGAGGGTGCACATATCTCGTCTGACTATACTAATATCATATCTATCACATTCTCTTTTAGTATTTTTGCAATTATAAAGATTCCTTATATATATATATTTATATTTGTGTGTGTGTGTGAGTGTAGATTAGCCTATTGATTCCTGGCTCCATCTTTCTCCAGTGATTTCTTGAATTTGTATTGGCTAGGCCACACGCTTCATCTTTTCTTTAACCAAGTAAAAAAGACCATTAGAGAGATTTTTGTTAAACAAAAAATTACCTTTCGCCATTGTACTTTATGATTGTTTAGGCAGACAGTTTGAAGAAGTATATTTATTTATATTGTAGATGCTTCTAATTCTCAATTAAATTATATCAATCATTTCCTTTATTATTTTCTTTAGGCCTGACTGTATGTGTGTTCACTGGTGCCATTGGTTTTTCTTCAATCTTAAATTTCTTTAGCAGGAAATAATATCGTAACGTTTCATGAACCAATATACATTTTAACAGGAATAACTCTGGGGCAGAAGAAATTTTGGTGTTTTAGATATCTGATTGCTATCTATCTGCATTACAACACAACCATCCTAATGAAGTTGGCAATTATAATTATTTTTTTCCTAAATGGTGTCAAGATTTTATAAATATAGTACAAAGGAAAGAGAGGCATACCCATACCCCTCTAATAATTAAAAGGCCATTATCAAGAGTGGTCCCTGATAATTGAGTTAACCGGAAGTAATTCTGCATGCTTTGGTTAAGGATTTTTAGATAGAAAATATTACATTAACAGATAGATACATGTTCTGTTGTATTGCTTCATTGATAAATATTGGGGTCTATTTAATTGCTACTCGACAATGCAAACTCTGGTGAATGTTGTCGAAAATATATGTTAATTTAGTTTAGTTAATATTGTCACTGATTAGTGGCTGATTTTTTAGGATGTATGCCAGTGTTGGAATAGTTTTTCAGTTTTTTTTCAATTTGTGCAGATTGTCGTATGGAGATTTCTACAGAGATCGAAAGGCTCAGATGTACTGGCTACAAAACAAGCATTGCTTTTTATTGTCTTGCTTCAGTATATTCCTCGATTTGTCCGAATCTTACCTTTAACTTCAGAACTGAAAAGGACTGCGGGCGTCTTTGCTGAAACTGCATGGGCTGGAGCTGTCTACTATCTGCTATTGTACATGCTGGCCAGTCATGTAAGTTACTGTTTAAGATGGTTGGCCATTTTCGCTGTGTGAGATCATGTACCCCAATTCTTGTCGATGCTGTTTTATCTTAAGCTTTCTTGCTCAAGTAATATACGTTTGTGTGCTGTGTGCATGAGCCTTACCTTTAACCTTATCTTGGATGGAACTTTTAACTGGTGTCTTTCGTAAATGCCTTGGTATCGTAGCAATATATGAAGATTTCAGAGATTCTATGATATCTGCTTGTTTATTGTTTTTTTGCTATAGTAGGCAGATGGCAAGACTTCTAACTGCTTGTTCCGTTGTGCTTTTGTCAAATTAAATATGCCAAAAATAAAATTTATTGGGACATGTTATTGTAGTGAATTTTCTATGTAGGTGTTGCTGGTGGTCTGCAATTACAATTTTGCAGATCCTTCTTGGGAGCGTAAATCTCCTTAGTAGTGACAGTTGATATGAGCCCGCAATTGTTGGAAACTGACTTGCCTTTCAGTTGACTTTAGCAACAGTCATACCATACATGTGTTTGTCATGCTGATAAATTAATTTGAACCCCTTTTCTTTTCTAAATGCCACCAATTTTTTATAGATAGAGATCTTATTAAGTACATTTTCCAGATTGATACGGATCACTTGGAGTTTGTTTTCCTTCCCTCTTTACCTTTCTATTAATTGTGCTAGCAAGGAAGCAGCTCTATAATCCTCTAAGACCTAAAATTTCAGTTTGGTCTAGATTTAATTTGGGGGTTCAGGGTGAGGCTTTAAGCTGCCCCATGAATGACCAGTAGAACATTACTCGCCCCTGATGTCTAGAATTTTTTGAGTCTAAAATGATTATGTTCTTTTGGGGTTTGGGGTAAAGCTCCAAGTTATGCCCGTGATATAGCTTTGGTCCTCTATTAAATTTTCACTTGCTTTGGTCTGTTTTGTTCTGCTATTTCCTTTTCTTCTTCCAAATGACACATTTCTTTCTTCTGGTTGATCCTTTGCAGATAGTTGGGGCTTTCTGGTACCTATTATCCGCAGAACGTAATGATACATGCTGGCAGAAAGCTTGCAATAACAACACGGCATGCGAGACAAATTTCTTGTATTGTGGCAAGCAGGACATGACAGGTTTTGATGCCTGGCACAACATCAGTGATTCAGTTCTTAATTCAGCTTGCTCTGTAGAAGGTGATAATCCGCCATTTGATTTTGGAATCTTCAAACAGGCTTTGTCATCTGGCATTGTGTCATCCAGCAAGTTCCTTTCTAAGTATTGTTATTGTCTGTGGTGGGGGCTGCAGAATTTGAGGTAAAATATGGTTTCTAGTTACTTGATAGACTTTGTTCAATTGTTTATTTTGTGTCTTCTTTCAATTGAGTTGTGACTTGTCTGATTTCTGTTTGTCATTTTTATCCCCTCCTTTTTGTGAGTCAGTTTGGTATGTAACCCCCCAAAAAAAAGAAAAACCATTGGTATGACCAAGTGAGGAGTCAAAGGTTTACTTTTGGATTTGAAGAATATGATATAAACAATTGATTAGAAAAGTGCAAATTGTAGAAATGCAATCATTCAATACATTAATGCTATATTGTAAAGGAAAATTCGATATTTTTATTATAAATGCACCCACATTATACATATCCAACTATCTTGACAAAAGATATGTTCTTAAAATTAAAGAAAGATAAAGTAAGATGGATTGTGTTGGTTTAGCTGCCATTACCATAAGGGTACAAGGACACCTCTTGAACTATGTCACATTTTCAGTTCAATTTTTGAAATAAAAAACCTGACTGCAAATCTGCAATCCCTTCCAGGTTAATATTTTAGCATTAGTGCTACTTATCATAAAAAAATATTTTAGCATTAGTGCCACTTCCATTAGTCTGCCATTAAGAAAAGTAAGAGAAGTTAATCATCTGACTTGCACATGATATTGAAGTGGTTTTTTTAATTTAATTTTATTTATTTATTGACTTACACTCCATTGACTTCTTGAACTATAAATCATAAGCTTGATAGACCTTGCTTATCTTTGTTTCTCTCTCATTCTCTGATTTCCACCTCCCTTCCTGTTACTATTGCCTTCCCCACCTATTATAACAGACCAAACCCATCTTGTTCTTCTCAATTTCTGTCCACACTTAAACCAAGCACAATCTTGACTTCTTCATCCGCAGCCTCATTTATTACACTATTCTTCTTTGACCAATCTTAACCAAAACTTTTGGTCTCTGATTTTTTTGTACTTTCCAATTGAGATTAAATTTAATTCTGTTGCACCTCGAAGCATTTTGGCCAATACAGTCAATAGCAGAGTGGGTTGTGGTTAAGGCAAAGACGTTTTTTTAAAGCAGAAACATGGTTTTCATACATTTGGAGGATTCTCTATATTTTCCTACGGCTTGAATGTGACTGTTTATGCATATGAAGGGATTGGAATGATTTTGCCATTAGAATCATAGATGAAAGGTTTAAACAGCTCTGGTTCTGCTTGTGGCTGAGGTACGATATGGTATTTGGGTTGAGTTCTGTGGTCCTGTTGGGGCCCAATTTGTTTATTTCTTGTATCAGGTGGGGAAGAGTGTGCACTGTGTTGAGTTATGTTTTGTGCTAGTGACCAAAGCAACCAAGGATTTGGTAAGTGGAGAATAGCTTCTAAGTTCAACTGGTGCATGTCAACTCAGTTGCCCCCTGCGGGGGGAAGTATGTAAGAACTTTTTGGTTTAAATTCCATTGTAGAGATCGAAATAACTGGAATTGAACTTATAATATTTTCTTTGGTGCTCTTAAGAATACTAGCGACATGGGTGTTGTTTGATTTTAGTTTAATCTCTCTGTATGTATGAGTCTAACATGTCATATTTTTTTATACGGGTAATTGGTTTTGGGGTAATTGGATTTGGGGCAAACAAACACAGGAGCTTAGAAAAATGGGAGTTGAATGAGAGAAAAAGGAAGCAGATTGCAAAGAGCAGGACAATATTTTTGCGGCTCTGAGTTGGTGCATGGGCTGGTTATGGTGGTTATGAACTTATGATGTTAGATGGTGGAGGTAGGTTAAGGGGTGCCAATTGTGGAGATGATGGTGGTGTTGGTTTGATTTAGATGAAAGATGGTTCTGGAGTTCAAAGAGAGAAAAGGGCGTGTTAAATCCACAAGGAAAAACATGCAATATTTTTAATTAATGTTTTCCAACTTCCAACCTAATAATTTGGGGTTCAGTTTGTCGAACTAGTTCACTGGTAATAATCCGTAGGAAATAAGTGGAAATGGGCATAGTTTAGAGGTGTTTGTAATTTACCCACTTCATAATGTAATTTTTATTATTCAAAATAATTTAGATGCTTGGTTCTTTTAAAATTTAGTTTATTTGAGAACTTAAGTTTCATCTTTATGGCCTCTCTATGGATATTAATGACAAGTTTTTTTAGTTAGTATAGTTGTCTTTAGAAGGGTATTCTTATATTTGTACCAATATTCTATAATCTGTTGATAACTGTTGCCTCGTATAATGGTAGAAGTCGAACTGGCAAGTGGGAGGTCTTGACTTAGAGTATGGGATCAACTACTCTGTATAGACAATGCCAAAGTCTAATTTTGTCTCTGCGTAATGCTCTTTTTATTTGATAATTTGTTGGGCGCTGGTTGATCCTCGCCTTGTGGTATCAGTCTACTCCGGTCATATGATATTGATGTGTTGACGACTCCATAATCTAAGGTTGCAGGTGCAAGTGCCTGGATCACAAGGGCGTGTCTAATTCATGCTCTATCCTGCTTCATGCTTGAAAGTTGGTCCTAATGTGGTTTCTGTAAATCAAGGTGCTGTGAGGGACTGCTCATAGGATTTGAACATGTGAGCACGACTACTGCATCAAGCAATGGCCCTTTTCTATGTTGTATTAGAAAAATGATGATAGTTTTCACAATATCTGTCTCAAATTCGTGATGGATCCACCCTCAATTTTTATTGCTTAACCTAAGACATTTCATAGTCCTTCTGTCTTTTTCGGATGCTTAACTTAAGACATTTCATACTGCAACCTGTTGTTTACTAATAATTCAGAACATACCCGTAAGATTTCAGGTTATCAACTCAAACATGCATAAAACATCGACCTATCCTTTTTTTTTTTTTTTTTGGTTAGTTAAAATACTCACACACCCTCACAAATATCGACTATGGGGCTAGAACCCTCACCTCCCCTTTGGGGAGTGGAGGGTATAACACCTGGGCCCGGTGGTATCATCAACCTATCGTTGCTAATATAAGCTTTTACTTTTGTGTTGAATGTTTGTTAAACCATAGAAATGTTAATTACCGTGTTTTGTAGATTTCCTACCTTCATATCTAGCAGATATTGATGTAGTATTGTGAAGCAATTATTAGCTGATTTATTTATGAATACAATGATAATTAAAATTATAATGTTTGACGTGTTTAAATATTGAACAATCACCGGTTAACTATATTTTCTTTTGCCTTATGCAGTACACTAGGTCAGGGACTTCAAACCAGCACCTATCCTGGAGAGTCTATATTTTCCATAGCTCTAGCAATATTTGGGCTCATTCTTTTTGCTTTATTGATTGGCAACATGCAGGTAAATTAGAACTTTCTTTCTTCTGAAGACTGTTTAGTTGTTAAAGCTTTTTGAGCGAAGTTGCATCTTATTTTATAATTTTTGTATTTGGAGAGTAATCCTCCAAGTTTAGTATAGATCCCTGCTGATGAGAAACTCATGGCAGCATCAGCGTGCATAACATAAGGTGGTTCATACCTTTTGAACATCAATCTCTGACTGATGTCCATACCTGCAAATTAATTTTACTTCCTGAAATTATTGAAATGATCGTTGTTTTATTTATTTATTTATTATTATTATTATTTTTTATTATATGGTTCAGCTGTTAAATTTAATTATTAAAAATTTCAGATATCTTTACTCATCACCTCAACTCTGCTTCGCCTCCCCCATATTGGAGAGACTATTAGATGAAGCTGGTGGTTAGCCCGGGCATTAACTTTCGGCCCTTACTGGATTCTAAAGCCTGAATTGATATGGTTTAAGATGTTAACTTGTGAATATTGTTTTTAGAGAGTCTGAAAGGAACTGCATATGATTGAAGGCCAAAAGAAACAATAAAAATAAAATTGAACCAATATATGAATTAGACACATGACTGCAAACTTAAACTTTGACCATGGAATCTTTTTATGTTTATCTGCGGATGGTGAAGGTGAACCTCATGGCAGTGGACCTTGCAAACAACATTAATTATATGTTTCTTTTTAATTTCTTTCCATGGAGAAAGTAGCAACTTTAAGTATCAAAATGACAAGAGTCTTATTGCTCGCATCTTTGGCGTTTTTGCTATTGTGACAGACATATCTTCAATCTCTTACTATTCGGCTGGAGGAGATGAGAGTCAAAAGGCGGGATTCAGAGCAGTGGATGCATCATCGCTTGCTGCCACAAGATCTGCGGGAAAGGGTTAGACGATATGATCAGTACAAGTGGTTGGAAACACGTGGAGTGGATGAAGAGAACTTGGTTCAGAGTCTGCCAAAGGATCTCAGAAGGGACATAAAGCGTCATCTTTGTCTGGCCTTGGTGAAGAGGGTAATTCTTCTTCTTTCTTATTCTTAGTACCTTCTTGGTTACTAGTTAGTATGTTCTAACTTGACATATTTGCTGAAACAATATAATATGCAACTTTTGATCTGAGCATGTACAACCCAAATTTTGAAATATATACAAATAATGTGAAACTTAAGAGGGTGGATTTGCGAAATTCTCATACTATTTAAGGTACGTGTACTTCTCCACTTTTACTACTGACATCACTAACACACGGGAGGAGAGGAATGATCACTTTTCCCATGTTCATTTATTATTGAATATTCCTAATTTTTGCTTGTCCAAAGCAGTCTGGATCAAGATATATTTAGATTTTTTCTTATTGATTTCATCATCATTATCATCCTTGCCTTATAATCCCATATGAATGGGGTTAGCCATATGAATTATCTTTCCTCAATCATTTCTATTATATGCCATTTCACCTATGATATGTAATTTTTTAAAATAATTTTTAATGACCTCATCACATGTTAGTTTTGGTTGCCCTCTGCATCTCTGAAGACTATGATAACTAGTCTTCCTCATTTGACCAGTGCGTCGCTAAGTCTCCTATTCCTGATTGATTTTTTAATGGTAAATAATCCGAAAGCTGTCATTATGTCATGGAGATGCATGCCTTGTGAAAACTTAATCGGAATATTCTGGACCATCCAATTTATAAACTTTTCCTTGTGCTGTTTTTGGCATTTTCTGGTTAACATCTGTCTTTTCTCATACATTAATTTCTTTTAACTGTAGAATAATGGTTTCCCCCGCCTCTCATGGGATCCCGTACCATTTGGCTTTCCCAGGCAACTTTAATCAATAAATTTGGAGTCCTATCAATTCCTCTATTGTTGATCAATATCTTGGTGGTTTTGCAGGTTCCTTTGTTTGAGAATATGGATGAAAGGTTGCTTGATGCCATTTGTGAGCGGCTGAAACCGTGTTTATACACGGAGAATACTTATATAGTTCGAGAAGGAGATCCAGTTGACGAGATGCTCTTCATTATACGTGGTCGTCTTGAGAGTGTAACCACTGACGGTGGTAGAAGTGGGTTTTTCAACCGCAGTTTGCTGAAAGAAGGGGATTTTTGTGGAGAGGAGCTTCTTACCTGGGCACTGGACCCCAAATCTGGTGCTAACCTACCATCTTCTACTCGTACTGTGAAGGCTTTGACAGAAGTGGAGGCTTTTGCCTTAATAGCTGAAGAATTGAAATTTGTTGCCAGTCAGTTCAGGCGCCTCCACAGTCGACAGGTTCAGCACACCTTCCGTTTTTATTCACAGCAGTGGAGGACATGGGCTGCTTGTTTTATCCAAGCGGCATGGCGCCGATATTCTAAAAGGAAGATTATGGAACTTCGCCGAAAGGAAGAAGAAGAAGCAGAAGGATTGGCCGGGGCCAGCAACAATTCTGGTGGGGGGTCATATAGCCTTGGTGCCACCTTCTTAGCGTCTAGATTTGCAGCAAATGCTCTTCGTGGAGTTCATAGGAATCGGAATCTTAAGAGTGCTAGAGAACTGGTGAAACTACAGAAGCCCCCAGAACCCGATTTCACTGCTGATGCTGATTAATTGTGTCTAATTACTACTTTAAAATTTGGTATCACTGTACTACTGATTTTACTTGCTCGTAAGGGCCAACACAATGTACCACACAATACATGGATCAAAGTTGTGAGTAGTATTGCTTTATGTGCAAGCTTACGTTTCCATCTTGCTTTGTGTCAACTACAGAGCTCTTTAGAACTATCAAATTTAGATACCACGGAACAATTTCATGACATTTGACATCATTATTTAGTTGTTAGGAATTTCATGTTCGGTTCATGTTTAATATTTCCCGTGGAAAAAAGTGTCTACCCAACAAAAACATAATGATTAAGCCAGTTAGTATGCTACGAAATGTTCCACATACATTTCCACAATTGATAGAATGATTTGTGTAATGGTCCTAGACAGGCAATGAACTCTCATGGCTTCACTATAAAAGCAACAGTATACGCGCTCCACATTCGAGAACAACGTGTATTGATTTATGTATAACAAAACGTCGATCCATATTGAGTTGTTCTATGTGCAGACAATGCTGATCCGTATTATACCCAAACCATCAGAAGCACCATATTTAACCTCCCTCTTCCAATTTTGCCCACAACCTATCAGAACCGCTATTTCTCCTTCAAATATGAGATTTAACAGTAACAAGATAAATGAATTGCACAAGTAATATATTAACTATAAACTTTTAGTACAAGAATTCCTTTCAACATTTTAAAAATAGACTATTGAGGGCAGAGAAATTGCTCGAGCTTCCTCTCAATTGTCTCATTACAAAGCAAAGTGGAAATGTAAAAAGACAACAAAACAAAATGGAGAAATACAACTTCCAAATAACATGTATTGAGAAGACAGATAAAAAAGATAAAAAAAATTACTATGATTTATGATTTAAAACTGAACCCCAATGGTGTCTCAAGAAGTAACAAGGGCAACCTACATTTCCAATCCAATCCAAGGCGAGTTTGAGCTTCATCGAGATAGAAACCAACCATTTACCTTCAGATCACATCGCTTAATCGATCTTCACTGATGAGTAGATGAGCCTTGTGAACCAGAAGCACGCATAGAAACCAATTGTACCAGTGAGCACGAAGAAAGCATATGAGACAATCAGCATGTAACCGAAGTACAACATGCCAGACACAGGCTTCGTGATCTCAAGCTTTGTGAAAAAGTAGAAGGCAGCATAGAGGAAAAGGTAAAGGGCTGAGGATCCTGATGTCAGGTATGACCTCCACCACCATTGGTAGTCCTCACTGCACAACTGGAAATAGCAAAGCACAATTGTGATCTCGGCACAAGTGACCAATAGGATGACGAAGACAATGAAGAGGAAACCAAAAATGTAATAGAATTGATGCAACCAGATGGAGGTGAGTATGAAAAACAACTCAATAAATACAGCTCCAAATGGGAGTACACCACCAATGAGGATTGAGAAAACTGGGTTCATGTACCACGCCTGCTCAGGTATCTGCCTTGGAATTTTGTTGGTTTTCACGGGATCCTCAATTGTTGGCTTCTTAAACCCTAAGTAACCACCCACAAAAACAAGGGGAACAGAGATGCCAAACCATAAAAATACCAAAGCAAACATGGTTCCAAATGGCACTGCCCCCGAAGATTTCTCACCCCAAATTAGAGCATTCAAGATAAAGAAAATGGCAAAGACAGATGCAGGGAACATGAAAGCCGTTCTTAGAGTGATTTTCTTCCATTCTGTTCCTTTGAACATCTTGAAGAGCCGGGCAGCAGAATATCCAGCAAACAGGCCCATGAAGACCCACAGTAAAAGCATGGCCGTCATCAATCCACCTCGGTTTGAAGGGGAGAGGAATCCAAGGAGGGCGAAGATCATGGTGACGAATATCATCCCAAAAAACTGCACACCTGTCCCAACATAAACACAAAGGAGATCTGAATTTGTAGGTGGTCTGAAAACATCCCCATGAACCAGTTTCCACCCTGTCTCCTCTTGGGCTTCTTCCTGAGTCTCTAACTGGTTGTACTTGGATATGTCTCGGTACAGTGTCCTCAACATGATCATAGCCACCATTCCCGAGAGAAAAAGGACAATCATCAATGAATTGACAATTGAGAACCAGTGAATTTGATCATCGGCCATCAGAAGGTAGGTATCCCATCGAGATGCCCACTTCACATCACTCTCCTACAACGGTTATATAAAGGGGCATGAAAATCATAACGCACAACATGAAAACAACAACAGTGAAGTTGTTCCTCCACTGTGAGATAATGGGACTTACTTGGAACTCAACATCATATGTGAAAATAATTTCCTTCTTATCTTCGACCTCTTGTGGAGATTCAGAGCTGGTTACAGTGCGTTTAGCGTGGGGATCACAGGTTGTTAAACGGGTCTTGTCACTCCATTCGCCTTCATATTCATGTTTAACACTGATTCCACCAAAACAATCCAGATGAAGTACAGGCATAAAGCCACTCAAAAGACGTATCAGCACCAATTGAGAGCACAATAAGAGAAGGAAATGTGATGTCTGACCTGAATGGTTTGACTTCAAATCCTACAATCCTTGCAGAGTCTGTTTGTATGTCATTGTGAAACTTGACTGTGAAAGTTAAGTGGTTGTGGATAAAATACTTTTCCTCCTTGCTCTGCAAATAATTAGATTTAGAATATAATATATATATATACACACACACATGTATATATCAAAACTTTTCTTCTTGCATAGACATGACAGTTTTTAATAGTTTGTAACCGTGAGTGAAAGAGACAACTGCTTGGTACTTACACCAGAATACTGTCCTTTGAGACCCACATGAAAGCCATGTTGATACACAGTGGAAGATTCCTGATCTAGTCTTTGTAGAGGAACAACCAGAGGAAGATTATCCAATATCCTGCCACACAACAAACAAAGATAAAATTTGTAATAAACTTGAAAACAATACACAATCTGCAAGGATATTAGGATATTAGAAGTCAATTATAAGATGCCATCAGAAGAAGCCTCACATGTTCACCCGATACTCGTCACTTATCTTTTCTTTAAATTCTTTGGCTGTTTTTGCATTAAGTGTAACACGACATACAACATTGCACATTTGAGGTACTCGCATTTTGAACTGAAATAGAGAACTTCAGTAAGAAACACAGCAACAAGAAATAGTAAAAAGGCATAGAAGAAGATCAGCTGAGAAAATATGCTAACCGTATAAGGAGAATTTTCAATACGATCACCACGAAGAACTTCCCCAAGATTTTCTGCATTATCAACAATGCTCTCTGGTCGGCAGTAATTAAGTGAATAGTATGAGTAAGGAAGCTGTGTTTTGGTAGAAGTCAGTTTGTTCACTTTCACCTTCAAAAGATCCGCCTGCACCAAATAGACATAAAAGTTACCATAGCTTTGAAAAATAAATTCATAATAGCTCAAATGCTAACTGATAACAAACTCAAAAAGACTACAAGAAATATAGTTAATACAGTATGCATCCATAGGACACACCACTGAGGTTGAACAACAAAAAACCTGTCACCCTAATGAGGGTGCAAATACAATAAAAAGCACACATGGAATTTTGTGAGCTTTAAAACAGCAACATGACTTTGTGTGTGTTTGTCCATATATAACTTCATAAATTCTGCATACTTGAGTATTCAGGCATGACTAAGACCAGGATACTCTCAAGTTGATACACTAGTTTCGGCCGCATAACCACAACACAAAATTTTCAGTTTCTATGAGCTTTTCATTGTCCAAGTCACATAGAATTTTGTTTCACATTTTTAGCAACGTAGTGAATTCATTAACATTATATTTCACATCAGTGACAAGAAAATTAAAATAAAAATAAAACAGATGATATTCAAGTCAAACAAAATTTAGTAGGAAAAATAATGATATGCTCAAGCGGAAGGGTAAACATTGGCCCATCAACGAGGTTGAGAGAATGAAATAATTCACATAATTACGAAAGCAGGTGCCAAATTACTGACTTTCCTGGGAACCATTCTTTATCTCCATTAATTGTTTGTACATATTTACTATTGTTCTTTACTTGATTGTGAGTAAGAGGCAGACATGGTAATGAAGTTAGTAAAATGTTCTTCAAATTCATGCAGAGAATGTTTGCTCGTTTTTTCCCTTTTCCGTCGAAGGTAGTCTCTGATCTCACTATATATGCACACACCCTCCATCTATTCACGAGATCCCAGAGGATGAACTTGTGCAACATGGTTGGGCAGGCCCGTAATATGAGTGAGGGCTCACTCTTTCTTTATTGGGAGAGGTCCATGAGGTAAGGATCTTGATTCTTTATCCATGAAAAGTAGATTCAAAGCTTTCTTTTCTTCATACTACTACTTAACACCAAAAAATAGAAAAAAAGATCCCACTTGACCAAACATATATTGCAAAAATCAGGGAGGAAAACAGAACTTGTAAAGTGACCACCTAAGCTGTTAAGAGCTTGTCCTCATTTATTTTAGAGATATTTTATTTTAAAAGTTAGTTTGAGTTGTTTTTCTACTGGTTTTTAGAATCTTACTATCATCGATCCGATCCTACGATCCCGATCCCGATCCTTAGAAACCCAAACCCCCATCGATCCTACATAGAATCCTGATCCTGACAACCTTACTTAAGATTGCTTAAGCAGGGATGGGTCTTATAACCTAATGCAAATCCATGCTTTCTCCGGATTCGAGGAATAATAAATAACAATTTGTAGAGTCTGAGAACTCTCTTCCAGTAATGTTCTTTCTGCAACCCACAAAATTGAAAAGTAAAAGGAATAATATTCCCTATTTTGTTTATCATGAAGTTGCATGACCCAACCGATTTACCAATTCATCACTACTCAGCCAAATACTTGAAATTTTTACACCATCTTGTGCATAATTTTCATAGTAAAGACTCGGAATAAACCCAAAAGCAGCTGAAAGGGAGGATAAATAATCCAAATCACAAAAATAGCCCCCTGGTAGCTTGACCCCATTATAGAACACAAGGAGCCCACATACAAATGTCAACGTTACTGGTCTTCCTACTAGAGAATCAACTCAGTAGGTTAGATCACAACTTCCTCTACAAGCACGAACGGAAGCAACTTATATCCTATCGGTTAATTACTCAGAATCCAGGAACATGGCAGCACAAGCACCAATGTTCGAATAAGACATGGATATGTCACACACTCTCATCCACAAGCACAAAGAATTCAATACACCAGATATATCATATCTATCAATAATACTAAGTTCTGTGAAGAACATTTAGCACATAATGTGCAAGTATATGTATACAGTATACCAACTCATCAAATCCAGAAGTAAATAAGTCACTCCGTGAATGGATCGCAATGAATTGAGGAGCAAGAGACCACATTTAACACTTTAGTTGCCGAAGACCATAACTAACACAGATCTAAGGAAATAATCAACTAAGCAACAAGATTACGCAGCCACAAAACAGAGAAACTATCAAAGCACCAAATCAACGACATCAAACTCTAGAGTATACATACACATGTATGTGTGTATGCGTGTATGTGTATGTAAAGTACCTTATGGAAATCTTGGGGAGCAACACCAGGAAGGTAGAAGCAGTGTCCATGGATGAAGAGCAGAAGAGAAACCGAGATCCAAAGATGCAATGAGAGAGGCGTTCGAACCGCCATTGCACTTACAGGAGGAGAGAGAAAACCTTAGCGGAGATCTAGATCCAGAGATTGTGTTCTCTCTCTCTCTATCTTTGGTTTTTGGGATTTAATAGCACGGAACCAACGAGGAAGAGCCTGCAATGAATTGGGGATTGCAAGGGAGAGGTGTAATGTTCAACAGTTGATATATAAAAGCCAATTTTTATTTATTTAGAAGTAGACGTGATGGACGGTTGAGATTAGATCAAAAATGGTATCGGTTGTCAGTTGTCACCATTTTTATGGTATAAATTGCATTAAAACACATTTCCATCATAGAAAAGGACGAATTTATACTTTTCACAATTGCACTCAAACCCCTTCCATTCTTCAAAATTTTAAAATATGCTTCGCAATTTAATACTGCTGGTTTAATTGATAACACATTTGGAATCGTACTAAAATTGCAGTCTAGTGATATTTCTAAAATAGCATGTATGAATCAAGTTGCTGCAAAATTTTCACTAAAAATAAATGAATGTGTAAATTTAATATATACACACACGTGATACAATCTTTACAATTTTGATAATGAATTCATAAATAAGAGTTATACAAAATTGAAAACCTAAGTGAAGTTATTTTTTTGTCCCATACTCCCTCACTACTATATATATATATATATATATATATATATATATACAATCGTATCTATCTACTTATATTTCCATTTAGGGTCCGTTTGATTAGACGGAAATTTATGATGGAAAGTGAAAGCGAAAGAAAGTGAAGTGAAATAAAGGAAAATTTAGTTTCCTGCATACATTTGATTAGCAAGCAAAAATTTTAAGAAAGTTAGGGAAAATATTATTTTATTAGTTTGGATAGCATGAAAGGGAAAAGAAAATGATTTACTTACCAAAACTACCCTCATGATTTAAAATATTAAAAAATTAATTAATTTTGTGTTGGATGAATCATCTTTACACCCAATTATTTATATTAATTTTTAGCAATTAAATAGGAAAATAATGGATTAATAATAATTATTATTATTATTTATATTTATATTTAAATTAGACAAAGTAAGGAGGACTACATTTTAGCTGTCAGATTCTTTTTATTTTTTGTTTTCAATAATAATTATTTATATTTATATGTAGAATATAATTCATTTATTATAACATACTCATGTTTTATTATAAAATAATGGATTATTAATTATTATTATTATTATTATTATTATTATTATTATTTATATTCATATTTGAATTAGAAAAACTAAGAAGGACTGCATTTAAGTTGCCAGATTTTTTTATTTTGTGTTTTCAATAATAATTATTTATATTTATATGTAGAATATAGTTCATTTATGATAACATACTCGTATTTTATTAAATTATTAAATATATCTTTTTTTAAGCCCCCTTTAAGAAACATTAAATGGCAACTCTGGGATAAAAATTGTCATGCAAAAGTAACATATTAATTTTATAATTCTTTCTAAGTAACCAAACTCCCAAAAATAAAATTTCTTTTCCGTTTCTTTTCCTTTCTACCTACTTCACGCTAACCAAACGAACTTTAGGAAATTTTTTTTTTTTTTAATTTTAAAAACCATGAGATTAGACTATCTCTCCAATGTATGACAAGTAAGTCTTTTTATTGAATAACTATGTTTAGGAAATTTAGGTTTTAATTTCTTAACCGTAGTACCCTCTTTAACTTCAGTTATGCTAATGAATAAATTTGTTTCATTGAAATAGTAAGTGGCATTTGCTGCCCAGAATAAACCATCCACCGAGATCAAATCGGATCACAAATTTTATGTCTATTGTATTTCAAAATTTAGAGGTCTAATTTGAACAAATTCGATTGTGCATCCCCTAATATTTGTAATCAAATTATACATTGAAACATGAATTGTAATAGTAGTATGGGTTTCGGATTGTCGGAGGCAATGTTATTTGGCAAATACCATTCATATATCTCATTCTTCAAAGTGTTAAATATTTTTTATAAGCATTTTCCTAATGACAATGAGGTCGTACCTTAAATCGGTTTAATAATATAATAGTATAATTACTCTCTCCAGTACGTGCAAGTGTAAACATAACTATAGTGCCAAATGCCAACAAAAGGATCTAATTTCTTGTATAGTACTAATCAATTATTAATATGAATAATGGGTGTGACTTAAAAATATAAAAATAAAAAAATCAAGCAACAGCAGCAATCTCTAATTTATTATGAACAATAATTAATATTTTATACTGGCCCACAATTTCGGTTGAAATGATGGGGAGTAAGAATCATAATCCATTTAAAATCTAGCATTAGTAGTGGAGTTGGTTTAATGGTTGTTAAATAATGTAGTTCTTCGAATTCCTAAGCAAAATCTTATTATTATCCCGATACTTGGTTGACAAATAGTATTACCCTCGCCCCCACTTTAAATACTGTTTTAAAAACTGCAATTCACTTGTTTGTAAAATATGATTTTTGAAGATAACATTTAAAATGAAACAAATACTAGAGTGGTTTAACCGAGAAACACTGGAGTCAAATGTTGTAAAAGTTTTAAGATGAAGCAATGAGCTGGACGGTTGAAGGGTCCTGATCAGCTCAGTCTCACATCCCATCAAAGAAAGATTCCAATGAGTGACCACGAATATCGTAGAAAGGGAGCTCACTGCACCGACACACCACAAATATATTTGGGTACCCCTAAATGACGAGAACTTGTCCTGTTCTTTCAAAACCATTCTTTCAAAACCGAATACTCATGTTTGCCTGAAATGACAATAATAACATTCTACTTTTACAATTACAGTGTATGGACCAAAATATTTTTGTAAGAATTCTAGGGGCAAAATTGAGTTTTTAAATAATCATTTTCAATTGGTAGTGTCTTCTTGGGCTTAATTGTTGAATCAGCTCATCACCCGAAAAAAACTTGTAGCGGTTTTTATAGAACTATTAAGGAGGATTTGATTACAAGTTCTAAATTATTGGGGGCTAACTAAACTTAGCAAGTGTTAAAAAAACATTCCATTTCCTGGTTTTTTTTTTTTCAATTTCCACTATCCAATTTAATGATTTGGATTTAAAATAAAAAAAAATAAAAAAAAAGGTTAGTCCAAATGTTTATATTATAATAATAATAATTAAAATAAAATAGCCTTCTATATATAATCTTCCAAAGGTTTCCAAAACTCTCCACAAAAATATATACACATATATACAAAGCCACTACTATTCTATAATCTTCTCTAATTTATTAATTTTTACAAACTCTTCAACAAAGGTCTTTTATATTATTAAAGTGAAAACAAGATAACAGAAGAGAAATAACATGTGTAGTGGAATTTGTATTAGTATTTTCGTTTTAGTTTTTTTTATGCCTATTTATTTTTTAATCCTATTTTGAAACAAGAAAAATCAATTATATCCGTAATTCTATAACACCTATTTTTGTGCCTTATTTTACTAACCAGGCTTGCAACTGTCACGTCTCTTATTCTAAAATAGTATAAAATCTATTTCTTATCAAATTTTAGTTTATTTCAAATGGCAGTAATAGAATTCCATTTTAATTACAATCAACTTCTTTTTTCAATTCCAATTTCAAATCTCATTTTATTATATAAAAATAATGTTATATCCGAGCATATTCGTATTTGTATTTTTTCTTTTTGATTTTTTTTATGCCTTATTTTCTTTTATCATTTTTTAAACAAGAAAAATTAATTATCTCCGTACACGTATATATACAGTATTTTTAGTAACTGTATATATATGCTCAGAGGTGTCACATCTCTGTTTCTAAAATACTAATACAAAACCTATTCAAATTTCAATTTATTCCAAATGACAATAATAAAATTCCATTTTAATTACAATCAAATTCTTTTTCCAATTCCAATTTGAAATCCTAAACGAATTGAAAAATGACTTTTAAAGAAAAAGATTAAAAAAATTTAGGCTTAAAAAAACCAAAACGAAAAATACAAATACTAATACTTTTTATATAAATAATAATAAAAAATTTTGATATGTTATTTCTCTTCTATTCTATTCTATTCTCTTCTCCTCTCTTGTTTTCATTTTAATAATATAAAAGACTTTTGTTATAATAAGTTTGTAAAAATTGATAATTATAGAAGATTATAGAAGAATAGAGAGTTTGTATATATGTATATATATTTTGTGGAGAGTTTTGGAAACCAAATTTTAATTATTGTCCAATTACTATAAATAGGTCCAATTGTAACAGCAACCTGGTGAGAAGTTTGAGGAGTGGGTGAGTCTTTTATTTTTAATAACATATGGATTGAGAAGTTTTCTATGGAAGTTGAAGTTGCTGGTAGGTATATAAAGTATTTTGGGGCTTTTTTGAAGAGTAGGTATATAAAGTATTTTGGGGCTTTTTTGAACAGTTTATCGTGCAGTACGGATTATGGTCTGATTGCCAAGAATGCTGCCATGTACAAGGTCTTTGCGTATTCCTATCAACATGTGCACCTCTTACTCTTAGTAGATAGAGAGGCGTGATTGAATAGGGACCAATTGATAGAACATTTTGATTGAGTAAGAGAATGCAAGATGCTCTTTCTTTTACTATTTGATATTGTCTGCGACACATAAGAATCCAGAAATTGCCATAGAAATCACAACCAGAGTTGGAGATTTTCTTTCCTACCAAATAAAAGCTAAACAACCATGGTCAGAAACTTTCAATTCCTTTCTGAGGAGTTTAACAACTCTCCATACTCCAGTCTGTACAGATACGAGTGGAATGAGACCTAAAATACTCATTGTTGTTATTTACATGCATAAATGTATTGTTTTTTGTCGGATAGGCTTCAAAGCTGAGTTACTACATGAACAATTACCAGCTAATGTAGCCACCAATCAAGCAACAAGGTTTTTTTGAAGTCTGTCATCGTCGGTATGTAGGTTGGGGTGGGTCCAAAGGGCCCCACCCAAGTCGGTTTGTAGGTTGGGTTGGGTCCAAAGGCCCTGCCCAAGGAAGTGCCGAGTTCCAAAAAAAAAAAAAAACTAACTGAAGTCAAATGGTAGTATCACTTTCACTGTAGAAAGAAAATGAAACTTTCCCCAAAAGGGCAGCATAATTGACATTGGTTTCTTTAATAATTTTCCTGAAACTGCGCAACCACATTGCATGAGTGTAGAGCAGGCAAAGTAACATAAGAAAGTAGGTTTCACCATATTGATGTCCGCAAAGGATGTAACATAACTATTTATAACATCAACATGCCCTTGTCTCAACCCACAATAAGTCAGACAAGCATACGTGTGCATTCTAGCTCACTCTATTGCCCACTCATCCTATTTTACTGCTCCAAAAGCTTAAGGTGTACGAAAAGTGTAGCTAAAACAATGTTTTGCAGACAATGTCACGTACGATGGTTCCATGATCTCTTTATAGGTAATCAGATGCATATGAAAATCCATGAAAATATTTTTTAAAGGGTGTCCAATTTTGCCATGGGTTAGCCGTAAACACGATATCTACATACACTGGGCAAGTTAATGAGAATAGCTTTAGATTCAACAAGATAGAACCAAACCCCGAAAATAACAAATAAAAAACAAAGTATTTCATAAATACATGAATGCAAAAGATATTTTTTTTTTGGGGGCACACCAATGAATTGTTGTTTGAATTTCCAACTGCAAGGAGGAAAACTTCACAAATCTACTCACTACGGCATAGGTTATGTGATTTTTGATACATTCAAAAGAAAAATCACTGTTTTCAAAGCACCAACACCCTTCATTTCGACATTTTGAGAGCCTCCATGATATATCTCATAAGAAATCATTGAAAAAGTGGAAACAATTAAACTTGAAACAGCTTGACAGATCTGAAGAACTAATATCTAATGACCAAGAAAATATATGGAAAAAAGGGGTGGGGTCAAAATAAAGAGTTCAATTTCCATCTTGATTAGGTGGTTCAACCAATCTCACGCTACGAGGAAGCATAAACTCAGCAAATATTGGATAGTGAGAGGATGGATAATGCCCATCAATGTTGTCACTGACCACTTCACATGAAACAGGAATCAAGGATCTGCCTCTAAAAAGAATCCAGTCCACATGTAGATCCTGAGTTTGACGATCCCAGCAGAGGCAAAGAGCTCTGAAAATCAACTTGAGAAATTCAAGGGCTCCCTGCTTGTCACCTAACAGAATCAGATGCATATGGAGTAAGGCTAGCTCGTCAGGCTCTAATGCACCCTAAAGCAGTATAAACAATGAAAATGCAGTACCTTTGAAGCCGTGATAAGTGCGTATAAGAGAAACATTTTTCCTCACCCGAGCATTTGGCCATGCATCCCTCATATCACCAACAACTCCATGCTCTCTGTAGGCAGGGTAGTGAGCACAACCATGACTATCTAGTCAGTCCCCTATCAGAAAAAGAATGAAATATATTCCCTGTTCTATTATGAAGGTTATGTTAGGTACTAGTACTATGGAAAAGAATAAACAAAAAGTAATATCAGAAAACTCCCACTACTAATGTAGAATGTGAAATATATACATATATATCTAATTAAAATGAATGCAGGTGCTTGAACCCGGTTTTGGGGGTGGGGGGTGAAGAAAAAAGAATGGAAGTGCTTGTAAGAAGTTTTTTCCATGAAAGCAGGAGACTCATCTGTAAGCATTCATGCATTAATTCAGCGAGAGTAGCATAGCATCAATATCATGATAATAATAGCTTAGCCAATAGCATCCATGCATTCCTATTTTTTTGTTTTTTAGTTGAAATTAGTATCAGTGGAGTTGTTTATCAAATCATGGAATGGTATTGAACATGAAGTTTTGCATAAAATGCAATGAAACAGGCAGGCATGGCAGGCCCATGTACTGGAATGCGGCATCAAACAACAAACACACTTGCATGGAGATTCTCCTAGAATAAGCATAAACTTTTATAAAAGAGTATAAATACCCTAAACATGAGAGCAGTAAACAGTTCCCTGAATCCATTTCCCAGATCTACTTTTCTATAGATAATGGTTTAGTGTTTTCCTTTTTCATGGTAATGTTGATACTGAAAGCTACACTTTCACATTTTTTAAAAGAGTATAAATACCCTAAACATGGGAGCAGTAAACAGTTCCCAGATATACTTTTCTATAGATAATGGTTTAGTGTTTTCCTTTTTCATGTTAATGTTGATACTGAAAGCTACGCTTTCACATTTTTTAAAAGAGTATAAATACCCTAAACATGAGAGCAGTAAACAGTTCCCTGAATCCATTTCCCATATCTAGTTTTCTATAGATAATGGTTTAGTGTTTTCCATTCTCATGGTAATGTTGATACTGGAAGCTACATTTTCACATTTTAATTTGTCTAAAGTGCAATAACATGATAAGTCTAGCATATTAATATCTATGTGGCACATGATACCTTGATCTCCCAAGAAGAAAACGCCCTGTAGTTGATTCCTTCTGAGTGTTAAATCCTCCACAGTATACAACCGCCAAGCTGGGAGGCAAGGACGCAATGTGCTGCCATGTGAGTAAAGCACTTCGCCTGCGAGCACGAGGGCTGAATTGATCCAAGTTTGTATTTACTATCTGAAATGAAAAACCTGGTGGTTCAACTCCTCTAAGTTGGAATGTGTAGACATTTGGTCAAGAAAACAGAGATTAAGACAATCTTCTTATCAGAAACACAGCCCATTGAAACATAATATTAAGCGGGCACATCAATGTAAAAAGGATATTGCCCATGTTGCAATACATGGAACTTCAGACCCCCATGATATACTTCCAGGAACTGAAGGCGACTCCGACAACCAGAATGTTCCACCTTCTAGCAATTCCACCTTCACTTGATAAAAGAAACGAATTAAAGATGATCAATTAAACTACTTAGGGAAAGAAAAAATAAAAAATTAAACCGCGTTTGGTAAATTGGAAATGACCTGCTACCTTCTCCTTGTCATAGAAGATGGTGCAATGTTCATCTGAAGTGTCTTCAGATCCTTTTCTTGAAATTCCAAATTGATCATAACCTAGAGGATTGAAGAGAACAAGTCCCACCATTAGTAAAGTTTCTCAATTATAGAAGGAAAATTTTAAGGGAGTGGTTGGACAAGCTGTGGTAATAAGATCATCCCACTTGTTATCCATGACATTAAGAGACAAAATTGCATTCATTAGAATGGAGTTACTACAGAACATCTGAATCATCTCACCACAAAAATTAAAACATTATTAAAATGATATTATTTCATGAAATTCATCAAATGATCTTCTATATCATACAAAGGTGCATTTGCAACAGGTTCATAATGTCACGGAACAATCATACTACCATCACAGGTTCACCGCACCAAGTTCTACATTGGCCATTTACCTACCATAACCCCCCTACTTCCTCCAACCTTCAGAGATGCTGTGTAAAAGATTAGACGCTAAGCACAATGTAATGAGAATTAAATGCATAAACTACTATCCTAAAAGTATTCAAACTATTTGCGTGAGTAAATTATATACTTCCACCGAAACAACAACCCTGCAGACCCTTTACATCCGAATGGCGACTAAAATAAACATTATGCAGGTTTATGGGAAATTAATGCTCATTGACTGAAAAGACTGAACCTTATCAAACTTTACAGAAGATTAAGTTCTGGTCCAACGTCTACATCATTATTTAACTAGTGAGTAACAACTGATGAGATTCAAAGAAATTCTGTCAGCTAAACCACAGATCCTCATAAAGTTGGCATAACTTTTTTGACGTCTTTGATTTAGAACATCAAATAATCAAATGCTCCTGAATTACATAAAATCATAAGCAAACAGCGACATTATTGAGAAATATGATGATATAAAGCCTACAAAATTTAAGAACATATAATATTGCTTATTAGACCCTACAGATTTAATATAAATTAACTCCACGCAAAGGATTATGAAAGACTTGAATTTACATTGTTAAATGCTAGAACAATATATATCTGGCTGTATCTCCAAGCCACAAGAATTAGTTGGAAAAGTAACGTCCATGTTAGGCACCAGCCAATCTGTATCTTTGACTTGGATGCAAGTGTTAGCCACAGTTAGCAAACAGAAGCTCAAACATCACTTTGTTGTCCAAAGAACTTCGGAGCCACTGAGATAAGAGGACACCAGTTTAATCAACAGCATTTTCTAAACATAACTGAGACAGGGCATCGTGATATAAGGTAGTTAAGAGGGCATGACTAATAAATCACAGTATGAGCCAGACCACCATATGTCGATCCTCAACATCATAGAGGCATTAAATTTATTTACCTAAAGCCCTCGATCACTTTAAGCTGAAGATATATATATATATATGGTTCTGGCTAAAGCTTAAACAAAGTCCAATACCAATAGATGTGTGTATGTTTGAGTTCAATGCAATAAGAGATGCAGTAAGAAACACAACAAATTCAAATTAAGTTTTGATTTATATCTATCCTTCAAGGAATATAACACATACAAATGATACACCCATGTCCCATCAGGGCTTAAACCTTGCAACTTCCTATTGAAGATGATAGGAGATATTTTCAAGCTAACAGTTCCTGGTATAATAAAAAGGACATAATTTTGAAAACTTTCTTCTGATTTAAAACAAATAAAAAGAATAAAGAAAAAGATGTGATGGAGTCCGCGTCTTTCTTTTGCACATCCCACACTTCCCGTCTCTCAATATCTCTTTCTCTATTTACATGTAGATAGAATGATATGTATCAATAATATATACAAAAATACAAACACTCTCTTGACCCTGCAAACTCCCATTTGGAACAGTTTCCGTTCTCTCAATAGCTATATCTCTACTAAATAAAGTCTTTACCAAAAATCTGGAATCAGCTCAACAAATTGTGAGTTTGTCAGTACCTGGAAACTGCAACATTTTATCTAGCTAAATGATTGGCCATCATGCCTTCTCTCAAAACCCTAACCCAAGTTTCTTTTTACCTTCCTCTTGTCAATTTAACATCTTCAGCTTTGACAGAATCAATCATCACTGTATGATCCAATCATTGCTTACGAGCACATCTTAGTCAATTGAATTTCATCTAGCCCTTAATCATTGTTACCAGCTACCCTTTAAGGAATGCATTTATTTCTTATTTTATCACTTCTTGTCTTTCCACTCACCAGTCTCCACGTCCTCAGTTCACATGGCCACTCTCACTCGATATATATATTCACTATTAATCTAACATTCTATAACACTAAAGTATGCAAGCCTTACAGAAATTGGAAAAGAAATTGTGTAATCGTTCACCACATAATGCTCCAAAGCATTAATTCACTTCATCCATCCAACTTAATTCCACAGGCAAAGTCCTTCATTATCTCATTCACCTTAATGATGTTTATCGAAGTACTAGAAATCAGTCATTTTTTTTTTTTTTGGAAAATCCAGCCATTGATTTATCTCTTTTGGATAGGCAGGTGTGAAAAGCCAGTAGCCACTTTGTACAAAAAATATCAAAAGTTAGGTTTATAACTAGTCCGCCTCTCCCAACACCCCTGATTAACAAGGACCACACTGGATAATGGCCTTTGGTTTTTATTTTTCTTTTATTTTCCCCCACAAAACCTCTTAATTTATAAGCTCTCTGTTTGTTACTTAAAAATCAACCTTTCCCAACTAGATTATATAAGCAAACAACATTCATAAATGAATAACAATTAGAATGGTGATAAGTTAACCTCTTTAGCTGAGACCAAAAAGAAAAATATCTAAACTCAAACCTATTCACACAAATAGTTTTAGATGTGCATGTAAGTCTGTTTAGCCTAGAATTGCGCATCTTTAGTAAGATCAGAACCAAAATTACCATAAACATGTCAGCATATATATATTGGACTAATTGATTACAAGAAAGTGTGATCCTTTTGTTCCTTGCATAACAGCATATATTAAAATTGACATTCAGCTGCGTTCATCTCCAGTGCTAAGTTCAGAAACGAACCGATAGACTCTACACATGAATAAATCTCTTTTATTTAGGGTTTCAAGCATGCGGGTTCAATTTTAAGAATGGAATAAGAAATCCAAGTTTCAACCAAAACAAAGAAATGAACTAATATACATTTTCATTTGAAATAAAAAGGGTTATTTGCATAGCCAAAGAACAGCAAAAGTAATACAAATCTTACCTGGCAAGCCCTGCTGAAGATACTCTAGCTGTGACTTCACACCTAAATTCCAAAAATGAAAACAAAATAAAATAATATTAGAGAAAAAAAAAAAATCAAACAAGTGTATGTGGACAATGTAATAAACAAAGAAAACTAAGAAACTATATCACTGAACCCAGAGTCAACATTTAAGAGAAAACCAAGATTATATTTTACAGCCAAATAAATAGAAAATTCAAAGAGAAAAAATCATTGAACCAAATCTTTATCTAAAAAGAAACAAAACCCATATCCAAAACAAAAATCATAAAACACCCAGATCACAAATTTGAATAGAAGGCACAACTCTTCAGGCAATTAGATCGACAGAGGAACATACCTTGTTGGGTACAGAGTATCATTGGGGAATAACTGGTTATAACGCTTAGACACAAATCTCTCCTTTTCTCCCATGAATCTGGACTGTCCTCTGGCTGATCTTCAAGAAGATTGAAGGTCATTACAGTAAGAGAAACACTCATTTTCTATATCTCTCTCTACATGTAATCGATTTTTATTTCTCCGTCTAAAGGATCATTGATGAATATAGCAATTGACGCTTTTTTGGAGGGACCCAAAGAACAAAGTTATTTTGTTCTTAGGGCGCTTTTTTCTTCATAGAATCATGGCTGAGTAGAGATCTCGTGTGTGAAACAATTTTGTTCAACGTTGGACAGCTTTGATTCAAAGCTTAAAGAAAACAAAGGTAAATAGTGGTAGTGTAGTACTAGAAACATTAAAACCGAGAACAGCGATGGGGTTTTTAACTCGCACGTGCAACGTTCAAAACAAAGTCCTGTGCAGACACGAATTTATTTAAATTTATCGATTTTTTTTTTTTTTTTTTTTTTTTTTTTGTCAATATAAAAATTATGAAATTTTAGTATCTTCAAAAATTCAAAATATTAATATTTCTTTATTTAAGGGTAAAGTACAGCCACACTCCCTGAGGTTTGGCAAAAGGATGCTCAGAAAAAACTTACCTCTTTTTTAGACAAAGACATCCCTTGAATGTTCAAAAATGAACAAAGACACCCATTTACATGAAAAATTGATCAAATTACCCTTTAACTGTTTAGGAGTTTTTTTAATTTTACAATTTAATAAATTGGACTAATCTACACTCATGAACAATTTATATTGTTCACCTTTTTTTTTTTTTTTTTTGGTTATTTACTTTATAAATGTCCCAACTTCTTAAAAATGTAGATGTCTAAAATGATTTTTTTGATCCAATACATATATTTCAAATAAATTATATTTTGTTATTACTTCTTTTATTTTTCTTTTTTATTTTTAAATTAAGATGCTTAATTCTTTCATCTAAAATAAATAAATTAATCTCTTTTCCTTAATAATAAAAAATATGGTATCAATATAATTTTATGCATCTTAAATTATATATCAAATATTATGCATTTCTCAACATAAAAGAGAAAAAAAAAAAATAAAACAAAGGGAAAACAAAAAACAAAGGCATGCGTAAAGTTATACGGGTACCTATTTTCTTTTATGTTGGGAAATGCATAATATTTTATATAAAATTTAAGATGCATAAAGTTATACTGGTACTATATTTTTTATTTTTAAGGAAAATAGATTGATTTAATTTTTTTAGATGAAAGAATTAAGAATTTTAATTTAAAAATAAAAAAGAAAAGAAGTAATAACAAAATATAATTTATTTGAAATATATGTATTGAATCAAAAAATCATTTTAGATGTTTACATTTTTTAGAAGTTGGGACATTTATAAAGTTAAAAAAAAAAAGTGAACAATATAAAGTTTTTTTTTTTTACTTTTTTTTTATGGATAAATTATTCATGAGGGTAGATTGGTCCAATTTATTAAATGGTAAAGTTAAAAAAGTCTCCTAAACTGTCAAAGGGTAATTTGGTCAATTTTTCATGTAAATGGATGTCATTGTCCATATTTGAACCTTTATGAGGTGTCTTTATCCAAAAAATATGTAAGTTTACTTTGATTGTCGTTTTGCCAAACCTCAGAGGGTGTGGCTATACTTTACCCTAAATTTTAATTTACCAATACTTATTTGCATTCTACTCCTCTACTCTTATATTCTTTTAAATTTTTTGAAGTCTGGTCATGAGGTATGAATAATATAAATTTTGATTTGAGAGTGTTATCTGAACATGGGATCAGGTTTGGTTTAATATTAGAATCATTTTTACTGAATTTGGATTTTAATTCTAATTTTAATTCTAAATATGCATGGCATTCACATGAATATGAACTCAATGAACTCAAACTTACTTCTATGGGCTTCAAAAATGTTTCATTTGATGTCCTACTTTTGTAAAAGCAATTACAGTTTTCTGTTATTTTATTAAAAAAAAAAAAGAAGAAAAAGATAATATTGTTGTACATTTATTACTTTTTACTAAATTATATTTGTTTCCACGTCTTTGGACAAAAACTTTTGTACCGAAAGAGGGACACTTTTGTGTCCCAACTCACTGTTGTCTTTAGGCAAAGATAATTTTGAGAAATGTCTTACCATAAAGCTTCACTGGAAATCTTAATAGAATCAAATCACAAATTAATTTCCTTGGCTATATTCTTGCCCGAATTGAAACTCCTCTCTGGATGGTCAATACATAACAACCTCCTTTGGTTGGTTGATAATTAGGAAAACATAAAAACCAAAAATAAGTTGGAGATTTTAAGACCATGGACCTATTTGGTGCTAGTGGTACTCTTAAGCATTTGTCAGTATATGGAGAGTATTATACAAATAAATGTGGTGGTTATGAATCTTACTGCAATAAACAACAATTCATGAAAATTTTGAAGTCCAAACAGAGTACTCCTCTTATTTTCTCTTGTCTAGGGATAACTGAAACTCCTATACAAAACATTATTTGCATTGCTTCATTGAAGAACCAATTAGTAGTTCATGGTGAGAAAAATAAGCTCAAGCCCCCAAGGAAGGACAACATATCAAGAGTACACTTACAGGAAAAGGGGATAACACTGAAAGAGAAAAATAAGAGTCAGCTTATCAGGATCTATTTATTTATTTTGGTTAAAGTAAGCAAGCACAGACCCACTATGCTGCTACCTCAGTGGGGGCATAAACCCTCAGCTTTTTAAAATCAATTTTCCCATATCAACAACGTCACAGTACAAGAAGATATCTGGTATCGTTGTAACATAAACCAAGAGCTAAGTGTATATACGAGTGCGCATTAGTTATAAGAAGTTTAGTGCTCGGAAGATCAAAAGGAAAAACAACCCACAAAATCCAGGTTTCCTCAAGATACTGTTTAGCCCCAAATCCAGTCTAAACAAAGACAAAAGTGCATTAACAGTATTTTATCTTGATAATACCTTTTCTACACCTTGGTTACAAGTACGGGTGGCAAATTTGGGCAGGGTCATGTTTGGGCAGGTCTAATATGAGTTGTGACCATTATTCAATCCGCTAGTAATGAATAAAATATGGGTTGGATCAACATGAAACAGGTCAATCCGTCATGACCCACCAACCCATTTTAAGAAAAAGAAATATTATTATTTTGGATAATCTCATTAGTATAGTTTTTTTTTTTTTTAGATGGATAAAAACTTGTAAAAATATATATCCATAATTGTAAATCCTTCAATTTATTTTGATTTTTTTTTTAAATTTATATTATTTTATATTATGACTAGGCATGCATGAAGGTAAGATATATATACATATATACATATATATATATATATATGAAATCATTTATTAAGCTTTTTATAAAATAAATAATTAAATGAATAAATTGAGTATTCCTATATATATAATACACGAATACATTGTATATGTGTTGTAGATGTAGCATAGCAATACTATAGTACTACAAATAATTTTAGAGAGAGAGAGAGAGGATTATGAGAGAGAATTTTAGGATCGTGTGTGAGAGAATTTTAAAGAGGAAGACGAGGTGAATTTGAGTCAAATAAATTATGTAAAAATGTGTTTATTATATAATAGGTGAAACATGGGTTAAAATACGTGACCCGTATTCAACCCATTTAACTCTCTATAAAAATGTATTGAATATGAGTCATCCATTTTGACCTATATTTTAAAATAGTTTACCCAAATTCATTTTTAAATGAGCTATATGGACGGGTTGGTGAATCATGACCCATTTTATCACCCCTGGTTACAAGCATATATCAACGCATCCGCAAGTTTATGTCTTCCTTCAGCATCAGTGTTGTTTACCTGCAATAGAGATTCAAGCCAACAAAACATTTTTTTTACTAGATTAAATGAGCAACAAGAAAATATCTCCAAAATTTATATGTACAACGCTAGATGTCCATTAAATCCAACTAAAGTTAATGGTTCAGATGAATAATGTGTCACCTTTAAATAATTTTCTTTCTCTTTTTCTTTTTGAGCTTTTCTTTGTATGAAAGTAAGCGACTGTCTGTGAATTGTATTGAGCTACAAACCCTTCTTATCAGAGATGTTGTATAATCCAGGTCGTTCGCATCATCTTCGGTATTCAGACAAACAAGGAACATATTAGACTACATGGTTGTAGGTGCAAAATTTCGCTCAACCAATAATGATTGAGAAAAATAACACAACACACTCAAAAAACAATAAGAATAAATAAGAACAGTGTATAGAGAAGCGTAGAATTGCTTGATCCTTTTATTGGAGGTCTGAGCCCCTATTTATACATAAAAGGGTGGTCGAATTAAGGTAGGACTCGCATTGCTTGTCCTCCAATTCTTCCTATACAGAGTTTTTTTACAAATAGAGTTTTTCCCTTGTATAACTTTTTATACGTATTACTTGCCTTGTACAGAACTTCCTATCTCAGAATTTTCCTTCTACAGTAAATCCTTCAACTGGTAGGACTTGTGCATTCTTGAATAACTGGGCTGAACATATTTTGATCCGGCTGGGCTTGAGTAACGGACCGGATGTTAAATATTAACAAGTTGGGCTGATGACCTCTTGATTCGGCCTTGATGGAGGTTGGAGGACAAATAACGATGGTCTTGGGCTGTAAATACCCTCCATTTGGGCTTGAGCATGATGGGCCTTATAAGTCCTTGGAATGTAGATATGTGTAGTGGTGACGTGTGCGCTTTTGATTGGAGGGAGTTTTTTTCACTCCACAATGGTGTTTGTGAGATGATGGGCCAAGGGATGAAAAATCATGACGGTAAACATAAACCTCACCAAAAGCAAACGTGTAAAATAACATGACATCAAAACCAAGAAAAATAATCATTCCACGTAAGTGGGTAACCAGAGGCCAAGTATGACATTAAAAGCAAAATGGGAATGTTATTTACATCAGTCTTATTACTAGGACTGTAACTCGGGCTGGGCCAGCCCGAATTTACCCGAGCCCAGTCAGAAATTTTTAGGGCTTGGACAGTGTTTTTTTATTCTAGGTCTGGGTTTGGGCTAGATATTCTGAGCCCGAATTAAATTCGGGTTGGGCTTGGGTTGATATTATATAAAGCTCGAAACTCAGCCCGAGCCCGAAAAGAGTATATTTATTTTAGAACTATATTATTTCACAAGTGTATAATAGCTTAGTTGGTGGTGTGTTTGGGATTTTTCTTAAAGGAATGTTGTTTGAGTCCTTGTAGCTGCACAAATTTCTTATTTTTTACATTCTGAATACAGAGGCGTGGGCTCATGGGCGGGCTTGAGCAGGAGAAGTTAATTATGGGCTGGGCT